TTATGGATTTATGGTCCGAACCAAATGGATCAGATAAAAATCCATTGGAGGGATGCTAACTTTTTGAAAAAGGCTAATTACGCATTTAGCATTTTACTTTGGACTAAAGCAGAGAAAATGGTCCAAACCAAGCGGCTACTCCACCCTGTGACCCATCCTGCTCCACCCAGAGGCTACTCCACCTCTGCTGCTGTGACCCATCCTGCTCCACCCAGAGGCTACTCCACCTCTGCTGCTGTGACCCATCCTGCTCCACCCAGAGGCTACTCCACCTCTGCTGCTGTGACCCATCCTGCTCCACCCAGAGGCTACTCCACCTCTGCTGCTGTGACCTGAAGGGCTGTTGCTGATTATTACTATTGTTATCTTTTTTGAATGATCGATTTTAATTTTAATTTTTACTGCTACTGGACACCTGAATTTCTCTGACGGGGATCAATAAAGTATCTATCTATCTATCTATCTATTACAGACACAGCACTGATACAGAGCGAAGCTTATACTGTACCCGCCCCCCGCCCCTACCCTGTCTTAGCACTCTCCAAACTCATTGCACAATTCCCTTGCCAGCAAAATGCATCAGACCCAAGTGGTGCAATTAAGTGAACATTTTCTTCAACATAATTTTGCGATCGTAAACATATCGCCACATATTAAATGAAGATGATGAGCAAAAAAACGACCTATATAGAACACTCATACACAGCTGAAGGGTTTTATTGAAATGCATCAAGAGTCTAATAATGGGCCTGCTGTAGTGAACCTGTAATTGGTGTGGTAAGTGGTTGGTGCAGGTCCCTGATGAATGTGAGGAGCTCTCTTATCCTCATTTACTGGATGAGTGGTAAATGCACATATTCTGCTCTCAAAGCCATTATTTAAAATCACCCCTGTGGATCTGAGGAATGCTATGTTTACTGTAAGTGCAAGAAGACGTTGCTGTTCTAAAACATGACATAAGCACGATTATCACTGGAATAGGAGGAAAATAGTATAAAGTAGTATTATGTTCTGTTCTTTATGATCTTTCTAAACGTCTAGATGTCTAAAATTGAACAAATGTATATGTATTGCAATGGGGATCCAGTTTTTTCCTCTGCAGTTTACAAATTCATCAGCATTTTTTGTTGAGCATAAAATATCATAGGAATTAAACCTGTACTCTTTGATAGCAGATTTGAGCCAGAAGCACACAAAGAAGTTATATCTCAAATTAATACATACAGTGAGTAATGTAAGCTGATGTTTTTTTTAGCTTTAACATGAGCTATGACATGAACATACTTGATGGAGCTGAAGTTGGCTGAATGCTGATTACCGGTACTTCATGTCTCGCTCCAAACTGATGTGTTGACTAAAAGACTAGATGACTCACTCTGATGATTCTGAGCTTTAAAATTCATATTGGCAGACAAAAATCTTTAGATATTGAAATGCGAATCTACATGGTCAATTGACTGGATTTTAGGTGTTTTTTTGTTTTTTTTTGCTCATCCAGAGCCATCATTTCAAGCAGAACAATAACAGGCTTCCCTTGCATATCCATGAGGGATTACATACTACCTAAGATTACCTACTTAGTTACTTTAAAAACACTTTTAATGAACAAGACAATAACAGGATTCAGCTCATGTCTGCAGATTATGACACATCTCACCTTCAGCCAGACTGTCCATGACGGCTACAGACACAGACACTGACAGTCCTGGCACTTACCAGAAAAATAGAATACACATATTTTTCTTCAACCTATCAAGTTTTAGACAAGCAAAAAAACTTATTGACTGCCATTGACATGTTTGTCTTAGACCTTCTATTCGACTGGGGATTACAGGAAAACAAAAATAGCAGAAAAAAAACATATTTTTGCTGATGAAAGTAGTAGAATCTGGTTTCATATTTCACATAGTCTTAGGATATAATATTCTATGGGTCTTGAGAATCAGTGAAATCATCAAAAACGGCTGGCACTCAATGAGTTAATCAACAATAACTTTTCAACAGCAATAGATCAATGTAAATCATTTCCAATCTTTAAACAGCTCACAACAAACTCATTTCACTGTAGGGCCAATCAAATTGAGCTTCCAAGAAAACTATCAATTGACTACCCGGAGTGCTTTGGAGGAATGTGGAGAGCAGGAATCTGAATCGCTGCAAGTATTGATTAAGACCTGTATTATTTATCAAGAACTAAAATTCAAAAAGCAATGACTAGTTTAGGTCAGCAGTTTTGTTGAGGATTACCAACTCAATACCCCTTTCTCACATTATGTAATTTGGGCCATTGAAAGACACTTTATTATTAGCCACATTAGATACATTCCATTTTATGTATTTGTTTTGCAAAGTTTGGAATCCGAAAGCTTCACATAGCTTCCTCAAGTGTCCATTTTCTACAGTTCCATTTTAAATTTTTGTGTAGCCCTAAATCACAGCAGTAGTTATCTCGGAGGACTTTATAAAGATGAAGTTGATTAGCCAATACAAATCAGAATGCAATGAAAACAAACACATTGGAGACATTGGTCTGTAAGCGGGGGAAGAGCAATGTCCATAAATGTCCTTGAGTGTCCTGGATCATCGCCACTGTCCTTAGACCCTCCACCATCAGCACGGAACACTGTCACAAAGAACAAATATGATGTTGGAAGAACAAAATGTTAATTGACTGATACATATTTTTTGTGTATTTTCTAACAGTCAGAGCTGCTAATTGAACCTTTACCTTCTGCCTGTAAACTGTAAACCGTGACCATGTAGTGCAGATCTCACCCAAACATAAGCGCTTCGAGCAGTGACGAATGAGGAAACAGCAGCTGCACCTGTATCGACGAAGCTTCAGGCACCGCGCCATATACGTAATTAATTGGACATAACATATTCCATGAAAGCAAAGACACTTCCTCGAACGAGCGCCTCGCGGCAAAGTCATTAGCATATACAAAGATTGAAGATTAGCAACACAGGGAGAGTTAGTGTTTGGTTCCACAGCCTGTGCTTGTTTTAAGAGGTTAATGAGGGAACTGCATTCAAACGCATTTGTAAACATAATTGTAATTTTTAATTCATATTGATTTAATTGTTTTGATTTATTGATACGGTTTAGAGTGCATCTTAAGATAACTAGAAACATTGACTTTGAGACCTTAAGCAATGGAAGGTTTCTCACCCATCATCTGTACTTCTTAGCAGGTTTTTGAGACCTTACCTTTCTGTGCTAAATGACACAAATATGAAATGTTAAGCTGACCGAGGTCTTTTTGGGTAAAATACATTGCTTAATTGCTGCCTTGACATAATTTCTCATTGAATGTGGCCATCTTTATGAATGAAGCTCTTGTCCTTTGGGTCAACTGTTCTATAAAAAGAAGAAAAATACTTGCAATGCACTGCAAAACGATTCTGACCGGGTCCGCGCCCTTCCTGTTGCCATGGGGACAAACAATAACATGTTTTGCTTGGATTGTGGTATAAGATTTGTATGTTATTTAAGTGTAGTTTATACTGCTCCAAAACTTCTTACCTGAGTCGAGTCTTGATTTTGGAACATTCAGGGGGAAAAAAATGTGATGGATGAAAATTGAGGTATCGAACTTCCAAATCACCAAAAATGGAGCTTACAAAACAGGTTCACAAGCTTTCACAAGCCTGTATTTTTAACCTCAGCTTTTTCAGAAAGTACATTTCATAAACAGAAAACCACCAGTCAGTGGTCACAACATTTTACTTTCCTTCAAACACAATTCATATACACATACTAAAAGTTAGGCCAGACCCCAGCTAAGTAGTGCACCTTTAAATTCTTAACAATCTCTCGCTACAGTTTATAAAATGTACATCAACTGGGCATCGATCATATAGTCACAGCTACCGTAACTTTCGCAATATTACACACACATACATTTTTAACAGTGCGCTGTATATTCCGGTGCGCATTATGTATCAATTTCTGAATGAATTGAATTTTGTTTACAACTGATAAATTAGTTATTTAATTTAGAGAGTTCATAATATAATTGAGTAAGTTCATTCATTTAATGTTTGACAACTGAGTGTTTTGTTTATGGGTACAGCTGATGTTACAACTGAAAAATGGTTTCAGTTATTGCATTTATTGAGTTTATACCAAGAAGATATTCATGTTTGATTTACCTGATTATCGGGTTGTTTCACTTCAAAATTGAGGCTGAGAATGACAATACGAAAGGACCTTCGTATTGCGTCATGCCTTTGTTTACATGTACAGGTACACTTTGTCATCAGGTCTAATGGTGGAGGAAATACACTAATTATCCAACTTGCATGTGCTGACCACAGACTGAAGCTGATTCAATGACAGACGAGTGCATCGCATGTGATGTTGCATGTTTTAACTTAACCTAAACTTATTTACATTCAGTGGTTACCCTAACACTAGTGTGGTAAACAGTGACCTATGTACTGCACAGGTGGACAAATGCAAGACAAAATAGTATTAATAACCTGGCCTTGTGGAGGTCTCAAGGACCACAGAGACTTTCGTTGTTTAGGCTATGTACTACCAGAATTCTAAAAGTACTATAAATGGCAGCTAAGAATTCTAAAAAATTCCCCCCACATTTTTTTTGTTTTTACCAGATTTGTTAAAAGAAAGTAATGTCTGAGGTTTTTACCTTTTACTTATTTTTAAGTGCTAAAACTGGTCTTTAAAACTGAAATAAAGAATATACAAGGCTAATGCTAACTTCTGACATTAACCAGTGTGTTGTTATGGTAACTAGCACTTGATATTCTCTGGTAAAAAATGAGTGAAAGATAAAACTACTCACATTTCAAAGGTAAAAGCAATTTTTCATCAGAAGTAATCTCATAGAAATAAACTACATAAAGGCACAAAAAAAGTCATTAATTCAAGCTATGAAGACCAATAATGCACAAAATGATTGTTCTGGAAGTTCTGTTTTTGAACAGAAAGAAATAGAAGTCTTTTGTAGAGACATAATTGTGTGTTTTCACAGCTGGTGGGTGAGCAACAAGAGAGCCGGCCCCTTCTCAGTCCCTCCATCGATGATTTCCTGTGTGAGACCAAATGCGATGGAGTCTCCCGCCCTGTGACGTCCAACACTGCTGGTAAAGAGCTCATCTTTTTAAGTAAATGTCAGGTACTTTTCAAATTGTGAAGAAGACAGGCCCCCGCCCATGCTCAACCGAAATTAGAATTCCATCTAAATGAATTAAAATCCTTGAGGCCCCTAGTCTTTGGTTTGTCAAGGGGAGGGACTTTTTTAAGATTCACCTCACAGTGTGGAAATTTCACCGGTTCCAGAACACAGTAGGAAGGAGGAGCACACAATACAAGATAAATGAACCATCACTCTGACTTTAGCATGATAAAGAAGCAAGCAAGTATACAATCTCTAGAACTATATTATTGTTGAGAAATACTTACTGTACATAATAGTAGTGTCCCATGGTCAGAAATACACCCACTTTTAGAAATGGAAACACAATTTAAGTTTCTCGCATGACCTTTAAGACTTGTATCTACATTTTTAGTCACCATAGGAAGTTGCTGGAAGACACATTGGTTTCCATGTTGATTAAACCACACAATTTGTTGAGCCGTGTTTTTTCGGGTGATTTGGGGAAACAGATTGGAGCATGAGCGTGTGCATCATCTCCAAACATGCTACTAACTGTGTTGATTCAGGCGGAAAAGTGTCAGGCGATGATGCGGAACCTTCTGTCTCCACAAAGTTGAAGGCTTCTCAATGTGGCCATTATGAAAGAGTTCAAACATTTAAATGTGTTCAGACATGAATACTTTCTCTCACATTATCACATGGTAAAATGAAGATGTGATTGACAGTTTTGAATTGAGTGGGAATGAAATCATAATAAAGGAAAATCATTGGTGTGAAATCAAGCGGCAGCTCACAGAAGGCATAAAACCTATCATGGGCTTCAGCGTACGCTCATTAATTACTCCTCGCGCTGCTTTACTCCTTTTAAGTGTCACGTTTTTACTGCGTTCGGGAAGAAAAAAGCCCATTACATAAGCAAGGCTTTCTCATGCAACACAGCGATGTAGATTCAGCCTAATTATCCTGCAGCCTCCGATTGGCTTCAAAGTCTTTGTTGTTTCTTATTGTCAGCGTTTCTCCGTATGGGGGCCCTCTTCTCTCCCACACATTAAGAACCAATCGAAGTCGTAGTATCACGTCAATAGACAGATAGTTGCCTGCTCAAAAAATTTTTGGAAATTCTCAATTTATTCTTGTCAGAAAATGTGTCTAAATTGATAGAAATGCTAAATGAATGAACTTTAATATAATGCTCGTGCATTTTAACAGCAAAGATGAATACCCTCGTTTATTTGGATGTGATTTAAACTTGCTGCCCCCGGGTGTTTGGGTTCACACAGTGCTCCTTGTCCTCACTCCTCTTATTTTCCTATTCTCTTCTTCCATGAAGCCTTCGTTCATGCGTCACTCCAAGATTGCTCATGTAAGCAATTTGTGAATGTACAGAAATTAGTTCCTTGTTCCTAGTGTGTAGCTGAGATCACATTGTGAGCTCTAGTGTATTTTAAAGATTTTAAAATAAACAATGTGGAAATATATCATGCAGAAAGTATTTTTCTAACCTTGACATTGTGTATCTTTATTATGACCATATAAAATAGTCACTGTGCATTGATGAGGGGTTTATTTAGTATTTGGAAGGACTTCTTAAAAATAAGGTGTGGTTCAGCTGAGTGATTCATGCACTCTCTTGGTCAAAGCGATCAGAAAGTGGAATTCCACACCTGCTTCTCCATCACCTTTGTCACGGACACTGTAATAATCTATCTCTTTCATGCTCCTCTTGCAATACTCTTCTGTGCTAAAACTCCTCAGGCACCTCCCCAGAGGGAGCATCCTTGATTTGTAATTGTGCTTGTCATCGAGAGAGCACCAGGCATGGAAAGCATGTGCACCCAGTAATTACTTGGAGATTTCAGTCAACAAATGCTCCCAGTTGGTTGTCATGAAACAGCGGAGGGCCAATTATGCAGTCATTCACTATTGAAGTGCACAAAACACAGCAAGGGGCAGAAGGAAAAATAAATAAATGAGACTAAATAACGTTGTTTTCAAAAGTTGCTTTAAGTGCGTTTTCATCATTTGTGTTTGATCTAAATTCTAAGCAATGCTGGTTTAATTCTTAGTGGAGTCTTTTTCCTTTAGACTGTTTAGAATTATGTTAAGTTTTTTCCGCAAAAGAAATAAAATGCATGAATTTGTGACTGTAAACACTGACACTGAGACTAATGACTGACTTCATGTGCCACATGTGAGGCATAACATGTCCTATTTATTGTCCTTTTTTTACCTAGACTTAAACTTAGGGATTTTTTTTTTAATTATTCTATAAAAATGTTAATACATTTATTTGTGTATTTGTTACATACTTAAATTATATTCAAATTTCGTATAATTAAGTCAAACATTGTGAAAAGCAAAGATAGACAAAGACACATCTGTCTGTCCCTGGCTCAGTCCTTTCTCCATAATTTAATAACAAACAGTCAAGTTAAGCCCCATAATCAGGGTCTTATGCAGTGGAACCCTGTGTGCGCCAGAATGAGTACAGGCTGAACCACATCAGGAACAAATACAAGGAAGCCATGTTATTGCATGATTTGTGTTCTGGGTTCATGGTTTAGATTTTAAATATAAATTATGTATTATTATAGATTGATAGATTATTTGGATCAAAGGGTCCTATGTGTTTGTTATTGTACTGTATTCCCTGTGTTCTAATTGTTTGATTCTCTAATCTGTTGTTGACAAATTGACAATTGAGGACTATTTTGAAAGAAAATGACTTTATGACATCCTTTTGCACAGTTCTGTCTTCTAGTCTGGACCTGTTGGATCTGAGCGAACCTGGGGAGAGAAGACATAGTAAAGACAAGAAGAACCCACTCATCTCCCGTAGCAACAGCCACAAGAACAACTCTCATCGGAAGAAAACGGATGAGACGGAGCTGATCCAGGTGGAGGTGGAGCAGACAGCAGTGGACGCTCGTACCCCAGAGAGAGCCTCACTAGATTCAGGTACAAACACAACTTTTTTTCACACTGCCATTCATCTCATTCATAGACGGTTGAGCAGTGGACTCACCGAATGCTGTCCTCACCCATAGTGTTTGCAGACACATGGAAGAAGCCAATTTGAACAGCGGCTTGTTGGAGAGTATATCCTTATATGGGCATTTGTTACAACAGGAGCAGATGCAAACTAAAGAAGGCATCTGTTTGGTCAATCCCTATGGCTCATATATAGATTTACAAAGACAATATCAAAGGAGATATATTATATACTTTTAACCATGTTAAACAGCAGTTGTTTTAGATTCACACTAAAATCTGAAACATCTGCATGTACACAATTAATTAACTTCGCCTCAGCTGTCTAAAATTTCCGGTCTCAAGCCACTTTCAGGCAATCTTCAGGCAGCGATAACATTACAAAAATGTGCAGAAGTGTAAAGGGATTTTCTTAGAAACCTTCATTGTTGAGATGTGATAAATACTTGAGCAAATATCTTGTTCCTTATAATGAAAAGTGCTTGTACATATACAAAGTTCGCTCAGCTTTTGTGGCCATTCATTCAGTCATTATCATTTTGAAAATGGTGTAGGCTTAAATATGTTTAATTTTCAAAGTAAACCCATGAGTGGGACATAAACACATTCCCTCTCATTTTCTCACAGTGACACAAACAAAAGGTTTTTCCCATAAACTAGTGACATGTCAGAGGTAAAATGACGCTTTTATCAATCACATGGCTGTATTTGCTGTTGATTATTTTCATATTTCTCTGACGATAAACTGAAGATATTCTTTAACATTCTTAAAAACGTCATTGTAAATATTTTGTTTTTAATTAAAAAAGTCATGTGTAATTTTTATTCTTTAAACTATAAACACCAGGACCATTAAAGCACCAAACTAATTATTTTTAAGCCAAAAATGGTGAGCAAGGAGAATTCACTTTTCAATATTAGTTAAGAGCAAAAGAAAAAAAGAACGAACATTTGTGCACTTCCCTATTGGACCTGATCAGGCTATAGCGTGTTATCATTGTCCATCTACACAGCACAGTCTGTGATCTCACTACATGTGCTCCCTCGGCCCAACAATTCCCATCATCCCCTGCAGGAGCGACCCTACATGTGCAAACAGGTCTGTCGCTGCTTCCGCTATTACACAGGCTGTTAATTCCGGTTGTATTAGCAAGTTGAAAAGGTTAAAGTCGTGTATGATAACTAAGTATTCACAGTCAGACTACAGACAGCATTAATAATTCATGCTGCTGTGATGAATGAGTTGCAGAAACAGGGGCCAGATCATTTAGTACCTACTGGCTTATCTCACTGTTTTGCACAAAGACATTTCAAAGTGGGTTTGAGAAGTCCAAAATGATTGCGTTAGCATTAATTGGAATTGCGCGTTAAAATGTGTGCTGGTCTAATTATTATAATGGACTTAACCACGCAAATGAATTATAAATCTGATGCTGAAAATAGATGTTCTGTTTATTATAGCTACTATTGGATCGCAGCTCGACAAGTGGGAGGAGCATCCAAGTGTGGAAAGAAACGGCAACAAGAAGTGGAAGCAGGAGCGACGGCGTTCTTCCAAAAATGCTTCGAATGAGTTTCTGTGGTTAGTATTGAGCGTCCCATTACACTGTGTCAACAAAAGGGTGATGTCACATTAACACTGTAACTTCTCATTTCTTACACAGGTCCATAGAGAGTAAAAATCAAATAGAACCACTGAATAAAAATGCACTGGAATTAAATACCAGAGCAGACGCAGACACTGCACTTGCCAGTCAAGTAAGTTTTCAACGTTTTATTTTGTATTTTATTTTTTTTACGTACTATGAGATTTTAGACATACCGGTGAAACTCTGTATTAGACTTATTTTATGCAAGTGCCAAAATTACCAACTATTTCACAAATACAGGCTTAATAGATCTCCCTTTGCATGTAATTAGTCGGTCATATAATAGTTTCACATACCAGTTGACTTTATATTATTCTATTTTAACGTTTCTAAGTCTCATCTGTATACAGTAGTTCAAATGAAGGTGAAGTTTGACATTTCACATCCAAAGATTGAGCAAGACATGTTTGCGGGATTTAAAACCCGTAAAAATAGATGCATGTCAATTTCAGATTTATTTTTATAGAACATTTACATTTACATTTACAATTTACATTTATGAAAGATAATAATAAAAAAAAGAAAAAAAGCAACCAGTATAAAATTCATAGAAATACATTATTGAATTGCAGAGACTCAATTTGGTCCAGCAGCCCTCCGAGCCCAATGCTCCTGATTTAACTGCATGCAAATATAACTCATGCAAAATCATGGTTTCTCCTAAACTTTTACTCCTAACAAGTTTAACTTTTCCATTTCAGCTCAACAGACAGTATATTAGTGGACGACATGTAAGCTTCTCAATATGCATCCTTCTATACGATATTATTTTGAAAGACTTCCACATTTGCACCAGATAAGCAGCATCACATTGTAATAGAGTTCGCCTTTTAAATTGTTTAAACTAAAAACAGATTAAAAAGGTTGTTTTGCACCCTGTTGGCTGCTTATTTGTGGTGCTACGGGGTCCAAATGTCAAGTGCTTTCCACCCGAGATGTTGTCTTTGTGTAGGTCTGCAATTGGGGTCTTGTTTCCTGATGCCATGGTTAGATTAATAGAATGTGAATTATTCAATGGCTTTACTCTGAGCCCATTAGTGTTGATCCCACCAGCCCTGCTAAGCATACATCACCCTTTCAGCTCACATATAAATAATAGATTAGGAATTAAATGTGGATATCTTTGATGAAAGCAAGTTTTTGGAAAACAAACACACATTTTGTTTCACTGAAGATTAACAATATACTATAATTTTCTAAAATTACTGAAACATGTGCCATATATTTCCTGGCCCCATTCAGTAGAGAGATTAGGTAACCTCAATTAATCTCTCCTAATGGCAAGCTGTGAAGATGGGAATAGTAGTAGGTAATAGCTGGGCTATGCAGAGCTGCCCTCGCAGGGAGAGGCCACTGCACAGCACAGAAGCAGTCTATTGCTCAGCCCGTCGTTCTGCATGCCCTGGGTTATGTATTATTACAGTGCAATTTAGCCCTCACAGTAACTTTGCAGGTGTGATGCATGATCACCGACACTTCACCACACGTCAGTTCTGATTGGCCTTTAGAACCGTACAGACTCACTAGACTCTCAATACATGTGGGAGCTGACACTGCATGTGCAGGTGCACGGGGTGAGTGGGGGCTGAGAGCATGGTGTCTGACTGAGGGCTGCAGGTTGGAGTTGCTGACAGTGTTGGGCTTCCACAGCATGTCAGGGCTTTGTGAGTTGAGGACATTTCCAAAGAAAGCAGAGACAGCTGACCCAGCTCTCCCTGCTGTCCCTGTCCCCCTCTGCGGCCTGTGTGTGGCTAACGTCATGTGGCACATGAGACCATTCTCGTATCTGTTATAGCTCATGTTTGTACATATATGAACTGTGCTTGTTTGACAGGCACGCCTCACCAAGGAGCAGCGATGGGGAAGCACACTCTTATCCAGACACCAGTCCCTCGAGGAGGAGTTTGAGCGGGCCAAGGCTGCGGTTGAGGTAAGTACTGCTGAACATACATGTAGCTCCCCTATCATCTGTGCAGACACACGTGGGAGTGTGTCACCATGTTGTGTTTAAGTCAGGGTGCCACACCTTTTGAGCAAAAACGTCCTCAAAAGATACAACAAATCTCATTGTAATTTTCTGTAATGGTTGGGTAAAAGTAAATATTAATTTTAAAAAAATAGTATTTTTATGACATTTCCAACTGTGGAATAGACGAGTGAAACATTGATTTAATTTTGGAGGTGATCCAAATCACCGGCTTGTATTGGGGGTCGTAATCTCCACTCCCAGACGGGAGTATTATCTTCAGACTTGTTTTCATAAGATTCATCACATACAATTGCTGAATTGCAAAAGCATTAAATTGCCAAAAAGCCAAATAATAGTTATATGATTAAGGCACAATAAAATTACAATAGCTCCTGTGGACTCACCACCTGCAGGAGGATCAGTGAGGGGCTGGTGCTCTGTGTACTGGGTGGGATCTCTGGCCACCCCCCGACCCAGAAATGGATTGCGGGGAAGAAAATAGATGGATGGATGGAAAATTACAATATACAAATTATTTTTGTTTTTGTTCTGTCTTTCCACCAGATTTTAAAGAGATATATCAAATATCCAACAAGACAGCCCCCACTGTAACCAGATAAGCTTTGTCAACATGCTGAGTTCTTATGGTCTTGTGCGAGTCAGTAATCCATCACAATTTTATGAAATATTATAGGTACTTTTTATGTTTGTTGGGAAAATACATCTTACGATAAATGAAAGTACCAGTCTTGTCCTAATGCATGGACCGTGGACCATCATGTCTTCAGATCCATTAAAGCATGTGTGCGTGTGCATACGGCTGCACAGTTAGGAGGAGAAACTGGCAGAAATAGAACAAAGAATATTTGATTAGCCACGCACACAATCACCCAAATCCAGAGAAATGTATCACAAATCAAATGTAATTGATTTTACAAAGCCAACATTAGTCAGACTGTGTGATGTATCCATGATTGGACCTGGTATTGTTATTACGCCTATATTCTGTGTATAAAGCAAATGAGTATAACACCAATTACTTTTCAGGCCGGTGACAGTCAAAACATTATTAAGCAGAGGCCACAGGGACAATTAAGGGGTAATGTGAGTTTTTGTAGCAGGCTGCAGAAACTCAGTCCCTCAGCGGCAGTAAAGAATATTGGTCTGAGGATTCATAGGACGTTACTGAACCACTTTGTCGGCCAAAACCTACAAGATCAAGGACACGAAGACACGGTGACTTGAAAAAGTATTCATTGAAAGCGACTCAACTTTTCCACATTTTGTCCTTACACAAACAGAAATGCAAAGTGGGCTCGATTTTTTTTCTAATGAGTTCATAAAAATGTTCATTACTACTAGGGTTGCCAACCGTCCCTTGAAATACGGAATCGTCCCGTATTATAGAAAAACTATGTGCGTCCCGTATTGAACTGATACGGGACGGCTTTTGTCCCGTATTTTCAGAGTCGCCTTAAATGCATCACTCACTCACTGCATGTCATACAAGCGACACACGCACACACAGTAATCACAGTTTAAGCGTCTACCTTTCGGCCAAACAGTGTCAAAGGGGGCGTAGGCTTGATCACATCCATGGGTTTACCCTTACTGTTGACAAGTGACAGCGTGGGCCGTGCATGGATCGGCCGTGCCCGCAGCATCATCCTGGCAGAAGTCTGGTAAAGTAGCGTCATATTCCCAGATTCGGACTTCCGCGGTCAATAGCTCACGGAAGTTACTTTGTTAAACAAAAGTAATTTGCTAAAATGATCACCTCTATGTTGATTTTTCAAATCCAATGCGCTGTTTTTAATGCAGAGAAATCCATTGAATCCAGTGCACTGCAAGCGCCGAGAAAAGCGCTTAGGGACCGTCAACCAATGTCAATACCAGCTTTGTCAACAAAAAATAGCTTTTACTGAAGCCATGTACACGCACTAAACTCTCAGACACTATAAATAATGACCATATCTAACTGCTACAGACTTTGATTTCAACATTTGTGAGTTTTTTTAATGAATACATGTTTTTCTTTTTTTCTTTTACAGTAAATGGTCTTTACTGTCTTTGTCTTTTTATATGTTTTATTACTAATAAGAATGCATGAAGTCCTTAACCAGCCAAAGAGTTCCACCTTTTTATGACATTTATTTTTTGCCTAAGAATTTTATTGATTTTTATATGTAGCCAATAAATTTATATGTAGCCAATAAATTACATTCTAAAAATGGGATTATGAAATTCCATGATTCCTGTGTAGATTGAAATTAGGACTAAAAAGTGCTCAACCCGATCCACCCAAATGGTGTCCCTTATTTTTTTGTTCTCAAGTTGGCAACCCTAATTACTACATACAAGTTGTATTATAATCCGTAATTTAATTGAAAACTTGAACTCATTGATTCAGCTGTGTATGAATCAACTGTCTACAACGCTGGTAAACAAGGTAGCATGTTAGCAGAAAGTGGCTATAACTCCTCTGGCTGTAACTGCCACAACAGTGAGGAAGAGAAGAGGGAAAAAATGATCAAAGAAGAAATCAATCCCGGGTGAACATAGCTAGCTTATAAAGTATCCTCTAGAGAGATTACAGTCTATGGGAGAGACCTGCAGGAGCGGGACCGCCTCGGACTACATTTGGACGCAAAACTAGCGGTAATCTTTCAGTTCTATATTCTGTTAGCAGTGATTGTTGTACAGCTTACAAGAAGTTGTGCTAATGCTAATGTTAGCATATGTATCAGATCTCACATAAAACTAAATGGCTCCGTGTGATGAGAGCGTAGGGGAAATGAGAAGCCTGTGAGCGAGTTGAGGGGCGGTGCTAAACATTCAAACCTTGCAGAAACTGGTATAGCTCCTTTAATGGGTATGTCTCTCTAAGTTACACGCTTACATACGACAACATTTGTTTTCCTCACAACCAATGAATAGCTGTTTATAAATCTTGCCATAGTTTCTGGATTTTATTTAAAGAAAAGAAGTTCCACAGCATGATGCTGCCACTACCAGGTTTGACAGTGGTGACATTGTAATGTAGCTAGGGGCGAGATTTGGGCGGGGTCAGGTGAGAGGAAATAGCTTGAATGTACAGTAAAATCTCCTGCTCTATGGAACTTCTTACTTACACGACAGAATCACTCATTTTTTTTAAACAAACGCTCACGTCATAATTGAACCATGTTTCCTTCTTCTTGTAATCACACATGCACACGAGTTTTATTTCAGCGTGGTGCATACTTGACAGCATCATAAAGGGTAATTCATTGCTGCGGGCATCTGTTTAGCATTTTATCATTTTCTCTGGCCTATTTTAGTCTTGAGTGACCACGGAAATAGCCTCTGCAGCTCAACGATGGGAGACTCATTAACATTAAAGGCCAGGACAGCCCTGCTCTCCACACAAGCCAAGAGTTTGTCATGAGCTCCGTGTCACTGGTAAATAAGGACACTGTAATGTAAAACTTCCAGGCTAAGTGGATGAGTTAACTCCTGCACACGTTACAGTCACATCATAGGGTTTAAGGGCATTTTTGAATGATATTCTAATTTCCTGTAAAGCATTTAAAGCTTGTAAAAATCCCTAATAAAACATTTCGAAGGTATTCTAACGTATAACAATATTTTTAAAATGGACTGTTTTCTATAATAATCAAAGTTATACAAAAATAAATTGCAAGTTAAATTACAGAAGTAAAACATTTTTCCACGTTTCACCTGAACATTTGTGATTTCTGTATTGCTCTTGCAGACTGGTGTTATCAAAATACAATTAATAGCCTACTGTTCAAGATATGCCGTTATTACCTTCAGTTGATTACCTAATCAACAGAAGGTTTAAAGGTGACATAGTATGAATAATTTATAATCCTCTTTTTTCAAAACGCAAATGCACCAACAATACCCTCTTTAATAATGCACATACTTTTCCAGTTGATTCTTTTTCAGCATAAATAGGCTTAATTTAAAATAAACTGCTCTCTACCAGTAACTTTGCAATTACAGGTATAACTCTGAGAAAGAAATGAATCCAGTCATTATTATTGTATGATTGATTAAAATGATTAAAATACAAATAAATACCAGTGATCCACGTTTGTCATGCCTTACTTTACAGTATAACAAAGCCCAATTCTTTTAAAGCTGCACTAACTTATTTTTGTATTCATTACGAAAATTCAATCCATATCCATGCAGTGCATTGGAATATACAGTACGTCCTTTTGAAGAATAACTAGCGCAGATTTGTGCTGGCGTGACATTATATTTTAGATCGAGTTTTCATGAAACAAGGAAGAAAATGTGTTTCGGGACCAGATTGTGACCAATCACAGCGGACCACTGGCCCCCACTTTCTTGAGAAAAGCCACAGGTCTCTGGTTAGCACAGACAGCTGAGTTAGCACAACAAGCGGCAGAGGCTAATCTGAAACTTCATGTGTCTTCGTTACCGGTTACTGCTTACACAGCGAAACAGCCAAAAGAAAGTCATAGAATGACAGAACCGGCTTCCCGGTTCTGTCATATGGTCAGTCCATCCACGAGCAAAAGTGCCATATTGTTCCATATTGTGAGACGCTAGCTCCGAAGCTAACAACAGCACAGAGCACAGGCTGCGGGGGACGGGGGTAGTCGGGGGCGAAAGCTCCGTGGGTGCGGGGAGGGCGAGCAGAGAGAGGGAGCGCATCGCTCGCGTTTGAACATTTCTCCAAATGAGTTAGTGCAGTGTCACAAAACATGTTTTTTTCTATATTTTCTATGCTGGTTCATTTTGACCATCACAGCAAGAAAATAGATTATCTTATAATATAATATTTTATATTTCTGCAGACCTATAGTTGCTCGTCTCATAAATGTCCTTTATTGGTCTATTTATTTAATTACCGACATACGTACACAGCACTACAGCCATTTCCAGAAACAGATCAATTCCATAATCAAGTATATTGCTTTATTTAGCATCAGTGACTCCACTCTTTGCTATTGAGTTAGAGTCCTTGCTGCTTATCATGCTCCATAAGCAGGGCAGGTTCTGATTAGAATTGTGATGGGAGACCTCTGGGGACACCAGGTGCTACAGTGGGGCAGATGAAAACTAATGTGTTGTCAAACTGCAAATGAAGGCATCTGATTGGTCAATTCATTTTGGCTCATTTTTAGATTCAGACAATATCAAAATTCTATAGGATATTAAAGACCAGTGCTAGACCTGAGCTAGAGTTCACCCTCGACCTAAGCTTTCAATGTAAGTCTATAGGTTCATCCAGGAGCACTTCCCTTGGGCTTCATTGAGTTAGAGCAGGGTGGCTAACTGGTCAGAGAGTTAGAGCCACAATCTTCCAGTGTCATCTTGTGAAAAGCTTTACCATGTACCAGCAGCACAAGCGCCAGACTTTGGATAACTACATGAACATATTTTGGATAAACACTATAATCTGTAGTCCAGATGTATATCTGCTACAAAAGCTATAATCTGTAGCTTTCATTATGTATGTCTCCTAAAAGCAGCGGTAAGTGTTTTTATTTTTTATTTTTATAATCCGCTCGGTAAATATATGAAATCACAAACATGCCCTCTTGCTGTTTTCTGACAGCTCAAGCTATCTTCCATTCCTCGTAACACTTCGTCAGAGGTGTAGAAATTAGTCTCAGAGTTCCTCACTAATCTTACGCTGGATTGAGGCGGGCTGTGCGTCTCACATAATTAAAGTGGTACTCGGCGTAACACAAACAACAGCCTTTGAAGTGTTTCAATTAATCTTTTCACATATTTTGTCATTTGGAAACAGAACAGCTCCGTTTAGATTCTCACAGTCCGGAGCTGCGATCACCAGTCGGCAACGTTATTCTATCTGTATATGAACAGCCTGGGATGAACACACAAACGGTGATACAATTAATGCACATCAAAAACGTTACGCAATTTGAGTTTGATGATTTTGTATAATTAACAGAATTAATACAGTGAAAGCAAAGCTAAAGTACACAAACATGGAACTGCCAGTGTGGGTTAAATATTATTTTCAGGCAACATAAAACCGGATCATTTTAAATTTGAATGTATTAAGTTATTCACATTTTCTTAAGTTATCTGAAACAAGATAACAGTATAATTTTAACAAAGTAGCATAGATGGAAGGAGCGCATCTCCAGGTGGGTGTGGCCAGAGCCCCTGCTGCTGAAGCTGGTGAAAGACACAGAGCTCGGGATAAGACTGAAGGGTATAAGACTATTATTTTACACCTGTATTTTACACCTGTATTTTACACCTGTATTTTACACCTGTACGTACTGTATCTTTCCTCTGAGATACGTACTTGTTGAGGACAGTAGGTATCTCAGAGGCTCATCAGGGTATGATCAAATCCATAGTTCATAGAAAAGTAAAATAGAGATTTCTTCACTTTACTTTGGTTATACAGTTGAAACATTATAATATCATTCAAAAGTTCATTTATTTTCTAAAATATGAAACCAATATATGACATAGACTCATAGTGGTAAATTTGCAGCATTTTTAATATAATTTTTATGATTATGGCTTACTGTTTATTTTCCAAGTATTCATATTTTCTGAGATGTTTTATTTGGTTTTTTTACTGTGAGCCAATTATCAACATAACAAAAAAGACTTGATACATTTCACTTTGTAACTAGTGTGTCATTTCACATTTGAAGTTGAATAACAGAAGTAAATAGACTTTTGAGCAATTTTCTAATTTTCCTGCAACACTGCTTTTAGTGTTATTCATGCGTTTGGATTTGGGTTGTGTGGATAATTGTCCAGAATTTCATAGGAACTTTTTTCTCAAAGGGAAATAAAACTGCTTCTCACTATCTTGATCTGCTGTGGGGGGGGGGGTCTTTGTTGTGGCCGCTGACTTTGCCTAAATGGACCGAGCATAGATGGAAAAAGCGAGAATGAATATGAAATTGTGCAGCTTTCTGTCTTTTATAACATTGTTCTGGTACATTCTATAGTCGTGAAGTGAACATCTCACAGAAAATACCATCTGAACAGGAAAATAAATGGGAAGTTTTCTGTATTACCAAAGAAAAGCTTAAAAGTGATTCCGTGGATGCGCTGGCAAATTTGGTTGGTTCATTCACTATAACCTTCAAAGAATGCCAGGTAATTGAAATGCCTGCAAATAGCCACTGAAATGTCAGGCTAATGAAAAGGTGAAGGTCTTATCTTCGACTTCAGACTGCCGTGATATTCGCTTTACAGAGATGTTTGGATTATGTTAATTAAAACCAGAGGAGGCTTATGGAGATTGACGTTCAGTATAGCAGTAGTTTTATTAGTCGCTCCCTGTGTAAAATTATGCAGAAGTATTGTTTAGTTGTGATTTAGTTACGAATATTCATTACTATTTGTTCAGGCTTTATAGACAAATGTGTTGTACCTTTTATGTGATGTGTTAATGTCATATGAACCATCTGGGACTCTGGGGGGCACAGGGAGTGGTCTCCTGCTGGTACTCAGAGGGGCACAGGGAGTGGCCTCCAGCTGGAGCCCAGAGTCAGGACTGAACACGGGGAGTCAGATTTACCCTTTCTGAAAATGTGAAACAGGCTTCCACTCTGACAATGTTTATACAATGTGTATGCTGCTCTCTTAAAATTCTCTTTTATGGTACATTATATCTATGTTTCCTTTCATGTATTGTTGAGCACTTTGGGTTGCCTTTAGTATGAATTGTTTATTACAAAGAAATTCCCATGTCTTAATTTTGTGTGGCATCTTGAGGCCTCATTTGCAGTTGGTGAAGTTAAGAAGTTCTGCCAGTCATCCCTGTACAATCACCATTACTTATCTTTATATCTATCTTGTACAATATTCTGTAATCTGCTTTTTCACACTTGTTCTCGTCTGTGTTGCATGTGGTGCAGTCGGATACAGAGTTCTGGGACAAGATGCAGGCTGAGTGGGAAGAGCTCGCACGGCGAAACTGGCTGACTGAGAATGAGCAGGGGCAGATCCCCTCCTCTGTGTCTCCACATGAGAAGGTCAGTGTGTGACTGTCATGGTTTAGGTTTATTTTGTAACTTCCTTAACTCTGCTTTCTGTACGTGCTGACCTGTCCTCCACTCATGTGTGTTCTTCTTTCCTTTTTTTAAATAACTTATTTTAGCAGTCCGGCATTTTTGTGACAGCTACTGTTTGTTATCCATGTATAATGAATAATAAATTATCTTGTCATCATCTGCAATACCCTTATACTTTCTCCACTCACGCCTTCATCTGTCGGCATCACCAAAGGCCGAGGGATCAATTGATAAAAGGGATCTATTTTTTTATGTTTTTTTTATCCAATTAGCTTTGGTTGCAGTCCGGGGATTCAGGGGCAGCTAAATGTTAAGGTTTTTTTTTTTATTCTCCCTTCATTCTCTCTCTTGTCAGCTGTTGATTTTTTATGCAATAAACTGCCAAAATGTATAAATTGATACATTTCATACATTATTAGTTGTGTTCATCCGTACATAGAGCCCCTTGTAACCACACAAGTTTGTAACTCAATGTGGAATGTTCCACTCTGACAGACTGAGAAAGGGTCGGGTAGCTTTAGTTTATTTTTTTATGGTCTAATAAAGTCTTTACAAAGCACTGATTAAAGATGCTCCTGTGGACTCACCACCTGCAGGAGGACCAGTGAGGGGCTGGTGCTAAGTGTACTGGGTGCAGCTCTGACTGCCACCCCCCCGACCCAGAAATGGATTAAGGGGAAGAAAATGGATGGATGGATGGATGATTAAAGATGCAAAGCCCCTGCCGGGGTTTAGCCACACAAAAAATAAACTCTGTGAATCATGTGAGACAACTGTACTTATTTCTGTATCTGCTTCAATTTAAACAAATTTGTGGTGCTTTTATATAGTTTGTGATGTTTGTTATCTAAAAAAGCCAAAACCAGCTGACTTCATCTAACAATCTGGCAACCCTAACGAGACAGATATTGTCCGCTCTGATTGGATAATCTTCTTTAAAACCTTAAACATAAATATTGTGTGCATGTAAATGAGATCATGTAAATTTTGATAAACAAATAACCGTTTTGAAGTCATAGTTGGTTGCTTCCACAGAACACAATTAGAGATTAGAGAATCTTGCAGAATCAACATGGACTCCTCACCTGAATGTGTAGGAGACACTGACATGGTTCTGTTTCTGCTGACAGGGCTACTACTTCCACACAGATAATCCTTATAAGGACATGCCCAACGTGTTTGACGAGGGACAGAAGAAGTCTCGGGAAGGAGACTTACAGACTGCTGTCCTTTTGCTGGAGGCAGCGGTGTTGCAAGACCCCCAAGACTCAGAGGTGAAAACACTGCATTTATTTATACTTTGGAATTTTTTTTACTTTTTAGTTTGCTGAATTCAGAAAGAAAAGAAAGAAGAAAGAAGAAAATACAGACTGAAATAAAGTCGATTTGATCAATGTGATAGCAAGCCAAATAGAGCTTCTCTTCCTTAATCTCCTGTTTAAGGGGATTATGATCGGAATCAGAGGTCTTGCACCCACAAGCAGTTTACAGTAGCCCTAAAAATCACACACAAATGCTTTCTCTGCCAAAAGACGAACACTTTTTCAGCTTTGGATTTCCATTAGACAGTGAACTGAATAATAATTCATTCGGCAGGTTTCTGTGCATGCCACTGCCTTCTCAAAAGGAGTGACCTCTTTGCAGGCTGAAAGAGCAAAGCCTTCATACAAAGTACTTTGAATCCCCTGGAATATACAGAAATGTGCCAGTTATTCCAAGGAGAGGATTATGCTGCGGTGTATGGAACTAATATGATTCAGAAATTCCTTCTGGTGCTTAGTGGCCTATTGCCCAACAGCAAAGACCTCTGAATGGTTTATAAATATTACAGTCCCTTATTTCAAGCATTGTAGAGACAATATTGTGGTTTGGCTGTACTTACATTTCAATGAGAAAAGGAAGTTGAATCTACCAAAACTTTGAAAAACATGTCTTCCCTGAGAACACTGTATCCTTTGTCCACCTGCAGGCTTGGCAAGTGTTGGGGACCACCCAGGCTGAAAATGAGAACGAGCAGGCAGCAATTGTTTCCCTCCAAAGGTAGGAATCACAAACTGTCTGTAGATGGACATTGCTAACCCCCTGGCTCAATGAAGCTCAATAAGGAAGTGCTCATGGACAAAGTTTTGAACCAACTCATATTGACGTACTCTGAAAAGTAAACTCCTCAAGCTGTGTCACACTCTCCATTTAAAGAAATCTGCTTTAAGTAAGTAAGTAAGTAAGTAAGCTTTATTTATATACCGCCTTTCACAGACCAGGGTCACAAAGCGGTTTACAATTGTTATTTTTTGGTTACATTTTTGATTTTGTATTGATGAATCCAGGTATGATCCAAATAACATTGAAGGACCAATCAGATGCCTTCGTTTGTGCAGGCGTGCCTTAGCAACCATCTTGGCAACATGTCTGTTATGGAATGAATTATGTATAATGACTGACGGCTGCATTAAGATATGCGCGGGTCATAATGGGCGCGATTCGGTCGTGAAATTGCGATTAATATAAGAATCGGAAATTTCCCCAGCTCTAGTAATAAACACATTGAATAGATCTATTCACTAACTGCACAGATTACACCCTAATCACACAATCTTTGTCCAAAATGTAGTAATTGCAGTTCCAGCAGGGGTCAGACACATACAAATAACTAAAGAACAATTACAATCTTATAAAAAGGTAAAAGTGACATGTCAGATACAGATGTGCCGCTTCAGAGAGATTTTGAACAGTGCACAGTCAGGGGTGTCCTACTTTCAGCTGAAAGAGTGGATCACAGTGTATAAATCACACCTATCACCAGGTGAGAGATTTGACGATGCTTTTGACTTTTGAAAAGCTAAAAAAAAAAAATCCCCTTTCAAAAATAGACCTTCAATGCATTTTATCTTATACAGTAGTATAGACACTTAAAGTTTACAAATTTAAAAGGCTAGTTGTCGAAATAGGTGTTTATCTTAGGTGTTGTTCTGCCAGTGTCGCTCAGCCTGTGAGCAGCACTCAGTGATTCTAGTGCCGTTAGTATTTTCCGGACTATAATAAGCCGCAATCTCAAAATGTTAGTAAGAAATTGGATTTTGTGCTTGTACAAGCCACACTGGATTATAAACCGTACCTGTTATTGATATTGAAACTCTTGAAAGTTCGTCATGTTCTTAATGTAATACTGTAAGAAGTGAGTCACTGACTGTTCTTAATCTTCCAGTGTGAAGCAGAAAGATAAGGAGTAACATCTACTGGTCTCGTTTCACTTTCATGTCTATACAGAGAACCAAAAACTATTTATTATAAAGAATATTTACAAAAAGTTATTTTAAGTGAGGACTTTATTTAATCTGCTTGGAAACAAGCAAACAAATATATATTACAAATGCTTTTTCTCTAACAGTGCCTGTGACCTTTAATTATACCGTCTCGTAAATCTTCTAGTATTTGTGTGTTGACGAGGGTGAGAACAAATGACTGATTGACATATCATACATTTTGGACCGCTGTGAAATACTTCTGTTACTGTTACTTGGCTATAAGTTTTTGGCACACACAGAAAAAATGAAAGAATGAATGAAGCCGCACGTCACAATAAGCCTCAGCGTTCAAAGTGAGGGGAAAAAGCTTTGGTTTATAGTCTGGACTTTACGGTATGTAGCATCAGGATGACAGAAGGGGTTTGTTTGAAGTTAACTTTCATTGGTATTTCACAATTTAATTTCACAACCTTAGCATGTCCTCCTTACACATTTGACTAATACAGGTACAGTCATGATAGACCTTGGCTGATCCATCCTCCCTGACCCTGTAATCCCCCTCCCCTTCATGCTCCTGTGTTTTGGTCCAAATGAATGATCAAAGCCAAACTTTCTTTGAAGTGCACATGTAGAATGTTTTACATCTATATTTGCTGGTCCAGGTGTTTGGAGCTCCACCCTAACAACCTGACAGCCCTCATGGCTCTGGCTGTGAGTCTAACAAACACTGGGATGCGGCAGGACGCCTGCGAGACCCTGCTGCGCTGGCTGCGACACAACCCCAAGTACAAACAGCTGCTTAAGGGCAAAAGTCACCTGGGGTCGCCCAACTCTCACCGGAGGTTGTCCCATGTTCCACACGTGGGCCGACATGAAAGGTGAGCATGGCAGGAGCTCACGGTAACGTCTGTCATGTCATCATGGGGCTGTGTAGGAACCGATAATAATGATTATGGTAATACCAATAATGCCATCATTGTGGTCATTTACAAATGTAAAAAACTGATGATTTACTGATGAACTTGAGTGTGGAGATAAGGTTATTGTTAAAAGTACAAGATATAACTTGGCTTTTTAGGAAAAAACCAGTAATGTAATGAAATAGCAAACGTTCTTATTTCTCATCCATTATTAATGGGCAAAGTGCTTATAGGCTAAAATAAACAATTTATAAAAAAAAAACTCAACCTTAAACAAAACCAGCAATGCCATCTGTGATGTTTCACCAGTGTATTATTTTGCAGCAAATTTAGACTGCTGCATTTAAAATATATGCATCGAAATTAAAAACTTTATGGAATTGCAAATCAGTGACTGAAATTCGCAGAGACAAATATTGAAGAAAATGAAAAAAAAAAAAAAATAGATGAATTCAGGTCCAATTAAAATTCAATTTCTGGTGGAACAAATAATCTGTTGTTTTATTTTTTCATCGAATTTCACATTGCATTAAATTTGAGGCTCGAAAAAATAAACATATTAACTATTTTGAAGTGTCAAAATGTCATTTTAAAATTTGTAAACTGAATTTTTAGTCCAAACATGCTTTTTCAAGGTAAAACATTTCAAATTGAAAAATTCAAGCTTATTTCAAATTCAAAATCTGATATCACAAAAAGTCTTCCATATACTCTTTGATCCAAAGAGGAATAATGCGGCTCGACTTTTTTTATACTGCTTCTGAAATCTGTTTATCTGCGACACTTCACTAAGACTGACCCGGATCTACAGTTACCATGAAACTGGACTGGATCGAGGACAAAGGGCTCGATGTGTCAGATTGCCATTGTTGGAACAAGTTTATTCTCAGGTCTGAAATGACTATGTACCAACAAATCTGAACTCGCAACGTGAGGCTACGTCACCGTGCGGGCGGAGGGAGGCAGGATCACAGGCAGAGGAGCAGACTCTGGATCAGCTCGTTTGAGGTGACATCACCTCTATGCAAGAGAATGCTATAATCTCACACGTTTTGAGTGCTTTATGGTGTATCACTCAAATTATTATGACACATGTGCATAGTTCATTACTATGAAACATGAAGAAGAGCGTAATGTGTGTGTGTGTGTGTGTGTGTGTGTGTGTGTGTGTGTGTGTGTGTGTGTGTGTGTGTGTGTGTGTGTGTGTGTGTGTGTGTGTGTGTGTGTGTGTGTGTGTGTGTGTGTGTGTGTGTGTGTGTGTGTGTGTGTGTGTGTGCAGTGCTCTGTTACCAGATGTGAAGGATTTGTATCTGGAGGCGGCTCAGCACCACCCTGACAGCGTGGACCCGGACCTGCAGACGGGGCTCGGGGTTCTCTACAACCTGAGCGGAGAGTTCAACAAAGCTGTAGACGCCTTCAACACGGCCCTCTCGGTGCGGCCAGAGGTAACTTTTCTAAACCCACAGTGAAGAAGACTTTAGCAACCACTGGTCTACAATGAGGCTGCAGTTTTAAAGATTCAATATACAGAAGAAACAAAGCAATTCAAATGGTATTAAAAGTAACAAGTATTGTGTACTGAAATAACATATAAATAAATTGTGTTCAAAATATGTATAATTGTGTATACATTTATAAAAGACTTAACTACAAATGTTTACCTTTCCTTGATATTCAATTTATGACTAGAAATATGTTTATGATTTATTATGAATGTATGTAAACGTTTTCAGCCCTACCCTTAGCCCTCATGTTTAAACAGAAGGGGTAAGGATAAGGTCTAGCGGATTCAAAATATAATTGAGATTGGGCCTAATTTTTTTTTGACACTTTAAATTATTTCTGGTTTATATTTTATTCAGCTCTGGTGTGTCACAAGTTGAGTGCATCAATATTTCAGGGAGCCCCATGTGAAAAGTTGGAGAACCGCTGAGCTAATATTTTTTACTATCTTAAACTTACCTACTATACTTCTTATAAATCTCATATATAAGTGTATATAATGAGGATTGTCCACCTAATTTGATAGACCCTGTTAAATTGATAAAAGAGACTTAGTGGTGGTGTTTGCAGCACAAAACAACGGCTTTATCTTGTATGCACATCCTGTCGTCAGAGCATTCACACAAGGGTGGATCCAACCCTCACATTTGACTTGGTAATATGTGAACCCATGGTGGAGGCACAGTTGTGAGCACAGAAAGAGATAATTGCGCTTCAATGCTTTATTTAGTCCCAGATAAAAGTCTGTATACTGTACTGCGGCGGAGCTCGACCTCTGTGTGTCATTTTGCCTGCAGGTGGGAAATAACAACAAGGACATCCTATAACCCTCATTTGGTAGAAGGAAAATTCAAAGCAGGAATAAAACATGTCGTTAGAACAGTCACATTGTAGTTTACCGTAATAATCTGCACAAGCGCAGGGCCATTACTGTCTCACTGTGGTCTGATTGAAGGTTTCCATCTCTGTAGTAGCTGCAATCACTCTATATGAAAGCTTGTATTTAGGTTTTCCTCCTGAGGCCATAGAATGTATATAGATAGACATTGCTAATCCCCAAACTCAATAAATCCCAATAGGGAAGTGCTGATCGACAAAGTTTTGCTCCTACTTTCTCGGGCTCCTATTTACTTACATTATCAAGTGAACTTCTCAGTAACATGTTTGTGTCGCATTCACCATTTTTGGCTTAAATTAATCCATTATTTAGCACTCTGTTTGATTGTGGTGCTTATAATGTAATATTGTCTTTGTAAATCCAGATAGGAGCCCTAACAATTGATCAACCGGCGCCACTCCTGTTTGGCTCTTAGTAACTTGGCCGTCACAACTAAAATAATTTGCATACATTTGGTTCCCGTTCAAATAGCCTGTTCGAGCTGGCTCTTATTGGCCTCCTCCAAATGAAGGTTATGGTCAGTCCACTCATAAAATACAGTCTTTGCCTGAGGCCCCTATTTCCTGCTAAAGACGGGTCGAGTGCATAGGGAAACATGTGAAACAGCTTTGTAAATAGGAACAGAAAGTACATCCACTAAAAACTATTGCATGGCAGGACTACTTACTGTGGAACCGGCTCGGGGCCACACTGGCAAACGGAGACCGCAGTGAGGAGGCGGTGGAGGCCTACACCCGGGCCCTGGAGCTGCAGCCAGGCTTCATCCGCTCCCGCTACAACATGGGCATTAGCTGCATCAACCTGGGAGCGCACAGGTCAGTACTGTGGCCCAAAAAACAAGCTAAGGCTGTAATTCACAGACTGTACAAGTTAAGGATAGGAGATGAGATGAGGTAACTGTAGGATTCCACATCTTCTCTTTCAAATTACTAAATGTCAGGTCAACCACTGGAACCACTCAAAATATAACATCTGGTTATTTTCCCACTTCCAGAGATCCCCCTTCAGAATAAGATCGCATTTAGTGTATTAGGAGGTAATAAGTGACTAGACAGAATATGGTGAATAGGTACATTTCTATTGTTTAGTTTGCTCAGCTGTTGTAAAAGTACATAGTTGATTTATTTAATCTGATTTCGTGTTCATGTATATGGACGGTTGTGTTGATAATAATAATCTTTTTCCAGAGAGGCGGCCAGTAACTTCCTAACTGCCTTAAGCCTTCAGAGGAAGAGTCAGAGTGTGCAGCAGTCCCACCAGGTGATGTCAGGAAACATCTGGGCGGCTCTGAGGATAGCTCTGTCTATGATGGACCAGCCTGAACTGTTCCAGGCAGCCAACATCGGGGATCTGGACCTCCTCATGAAGGCTTTTAATCTAGAAATGTAAGCAGATAAATGGAGATGAACTTTTAACTTGTATTAGCCAAAAGCCAAAGGGAAGAGTGGACCAGTGTCTCCTGGCAGTGAGTTTTTTGCACTTGAGTAAAAAGTACTGTCAGGATTTGTGTCAATGACGGGTTCTTCCAAGTTTCCAAGAGCACAAGGACGGACACAGATTGTATAAGCAATGCCTTAGAGAACTCATCTAATAAAACCGTCTCACCCGGAGGAACAGCGCTGAACCAGCAAAGATGGACAGACAGGCCATGTTCTGTGGACAAGCCCTGGGTGTTCTTAAGTGGTTGCTCAGCAAAAGCCTTTAACATGATTTTGCTTAAGACTCTGCACTGAGAAGAGTGTGTTTAGTCATCACCTAGTGAAACATTATTGGAGCAATGAACCCTCTTTCAATCTATACAGACTGCTGCATTTATAGTATTACCATCGCACCATCAAGATAGATTTCTCTTTGCACCTTGGACATATTTCGATCATTCCGAAATGGAATGTGCAAGCCTGGTTTTCAGCCTTACTAAATGCTTTTGAAGATACTGTTGGCATGGCAACACAAATAGCCATTTTTCAACTCTTTGGACATACTCTCTATTTATGAACTTTGAAAAAGGGTTACATTTTACTTTGTTTTGTGATATTTTCAACCCTTGCCTTTGTGGCACTTTGTTCCCTTTACAATCTTTGATTGACAAAAGGTAATTAACTATAACCTTAAACCAGCCCTTAAACTATTAGAAGCGTCCTACATAACACTATATTATGAATATGCATAGTAAGCTGTAGTAGTTTTACAGTAGACAACAGCTGGTAGGTGATGTACTGTACTGCTCTAAGCCAAGCCGTCAAAGATGGTATTTGTATCTTTGCAGAACAGCTATCGGTATCAAAAGCTCACACTTACACCTGCTAGCCTTGAACGTTAAGAATACTAATATGTGAAAGACTACCGTACACACATCGTTTTCAGCTGTTGTTAGAATATGATGGATCTTCACTTTTCGGCTCTGCCTCTCAGCTTAGTGCAGTTCACTGTACGTGCTGTGAAACTAGGCTTTCTCTCCAAACCTATGCAAAGGTCATGTTTTCTTTTGCCATCCTGATGTTTGTGTGCTCCTGTCTGCCTCAGCAACCCAAATGGAAGTGTCTTTTCAGAGCTTTGAAAGAATGCTATCAGAGGGAACCAGAGGCTGCTCCAGAGCTATTCATCTTCTTAACTGCTCAGCAACGTTGTGCTCTGTATGGAAATGTTTCATTCAACTGCAGAGGCAAACACCAGAGAGCTTTTTCCAAATCAAAATGCTCCAAAACATCTCCATCCACCTTAGACAGAGTCATCAAGATGGCAAAGAAGAATTGTTCATTGCGCAGTTATGATTTGACCATTTTGAATAGTGGACTGTTAAAACTGTAGTGTCTCTGGAAACACACTTTATTTTCTGACCCAAATGGAAAATGGCCAAATTATGCCAGTTTTTTTTCATTTTTATTTATGTGATGATGTTATAGTTTTTATTATGCAACAGATTTGGTGATTCTATTTTCACGACCAGATTTGTTTGTTCTTGTGAGAAATCTTAAAAAGGTCTGACAGATAACTGGACAGATTTTGTATAAACATCTGCTTTACCTGCTCAGGTGAACTGATTTTGTGAAAACGCATGCTGCAACAGGACTGAAGCAGACTGCATGATAGATCTATACAACTATTTGTAATGCATTTTGAGTTGTATGCACGTAATACATGAAAGTGCTTTATTTTTCTCCGAGTATACAACAGCAAATAAGCTGCAACTTTTTTGAGAAATTGATAATCTCACTTGTTGACTTTAACCACAGTATACTGGTACAAATTATGCCTATAACACATTAGGATCTTACTAGAGTCAAGTCTAAACATATCTGTACTAAAAAAAAAAGTAATGATGCATTTTAATTGCATGTATGATTTTGTTATGTTTATGTTATTCTTGGTACTACAGCACTTGAAAGACTTTTATTAAGGAGTTTTAAGGTCCAGAAATGTGGATCTTTACAGAGGCAGTTTTTGTGGCTTGTCAATGAATTTACAACAATATTTTGGCAAATGATACCCTTTATATATGACCAAATATTTATTATTAAACGCTGATTATATTACATTATATTCTGTATGTAACCACAATGAAAGCATTAGCACCTTTAAATCCACTTAACGAAAGTAATCTTTTCAAATAAACTCTGCTTTCTATTCTCTGCTCTGGTGTTCAACATTTTTCAGACCTCTCATGTACAGTGTATACACAACATTACAAGGATTCTTTCTGGTAACTTTGGGAACACAAAAAATTAAGATTTCTAGTATTTCTGAACATATTTCTCTGCAATTCTTGGGCAAATACACACAAAACAAAAACCGTGACAGAGTTCCACATCTTTGTCAGCACATAATATGAACATAACTAATTATTTTCTCATGGAGACATCAGAATACTGTGGTGTGTTTGTGAATATAATCACTATTAAAACATTTGTATAATCTCTTATTCGGCATGTCTTTCAAAAATTGCTTCTTTCCCACAGAGTTGTATCGGCAGCTGCCCGCAATAACATGAACATTTCCAGATCTAAACCCTGACTTTATTGGGTCAAACAGAGCCTGCCTGGACCCCACATCTTGGGAAACACTGGTGTAAATGATGCACTGAAATCCCATCAAAAGTCTTTATTGATTTCCCCAAACAGCGAAGTAAACAGAGCAAAGATGAAAGATTATGGCTCTATTCACAGACACCAAATGGATAAACACGCACGTTACAAAAGTCAAATTAAATAATCCCTCGTCGATCATTAAAACTAAAATGGCACAAACTTGTTTTCAAAAAGGCAACACAGTAAAAGAACCTTCCCGACATTTAGTCAATTTAGAAAATTACTCAACAAGTACAATCGTACAATCGACCAGTCTAAATGTAGGTTTTGTTTAGATGGCAACAATGAAAAGACTTGTGAATGTAGCAACTGCGGGGAAACATGAACGTAGTTGGAATTTGTGGGAAAGCAGAACGGACAAAAAAATAGGTCATCTGAAAAGTGCTGAGAAGCCAGAACCATTGCACAGTTACCGATCATGAAAAGACACTGGTAAAGAAGAGGACAGCTTATATCCAGGGATGAGAAAAAGAGTTCAGTTAGATTTGAGGACTAAATCAGAAACACTGTTGAAACACAAACGTTGCATAGAGTTTGGTTAGTTACTGCAGCAGGTGCTAACATCTCCAGATGATAGTCATTTACTTGCACAAGAATACATTGAATGAGATGTAGAGTAGTGATTGTGATACTGAGATAATACATTCAGATCGTTCTGATTTTATTTATAAAGATGGTTGTGCAGTTTCATATAGCTAAAACTAAAAAAAGTGCATATAATGGTGTCAATGTAAATTAATCTATGTTTGTTAAATTTTAGATGCATGAACGAGACAATCCTTAGATTGTGCAAACTCTGCATATTCAGGATTTTGCTGCTGCACAGTTGGAGCTTTGAGAGCCACCGTCACATTACACCATCCTCTGATACAATCAGGTTTTATTATTAATGTGAACGACTGTGAGCTGTTGTGGCAAACAAATGTTTGCATTAGAATAGAACTTTGCACAGAATTCTAAATAAATCTTTACTAACCTGCGTCACAACCAGCTGAAAGTGGGGCAGGTCAGAGCCATTAGTCAAGGTGTAATACTGTATATAACCACTATTTATGGACTTCTGATGTTCCCCTTCAGGCAGAACTTTCTCTAGTGTACAGGCAAACATTCACCACAATGTAGCCACACGCAGCATCTGTATTTAGGGCTGGCAGTGAGATGTTTACATTATAAAAAGTACCATAGAAATCTGGGTAGAGTAGATCGAGGCTGTAGGCTGCATCAGGTGCATAAATTGCATATGTAACTTAAGATTTACACAAACTAAAATGAAGATTCAAAGCTTCTGAATTCTGACCAGTGTTGTAGATTTCCGGGAGGAGCTGGTTGTCTGAAATATCTTGAACATTGTTTCCACTGCTACAGTCTTGCACCAGTCTCAAAGAGGAAGGCAGTGGTTCTTTAGCTGCTTGACAGACGGCGGTAAAAGTAGATGTAACCCAAGTCTTTTGGAGGCCTTTCTGACAAACACACTTTGTGGTCATTGTAAATAACCCACCTATGAGAGGAAAACTAGATTTAGCACAGGTTTCAGAAATTAGATAACGAAGAGTGTGCGTGACTCACCGTCCTTCTTTTTTAATGTGACAAATGTAATGTCCTGACATTGTTGATGCTCCCATGTGGCTGATGAAGGCGAAGAGCTCGTATCCTTAAAACAAACATACAATACATTAATGTAAACACACTTTACTTTTCCCAAAGCTCAAACCTAAATCCCACCGTGATTGATTGTTGGTTTGAATCTGTCAAAAAAGTAATTTTGTAAAGAAGGTAAAGCAATGGGGGGCGACAGTAGCTCAGTTGGTAGAGCATTGGCCTTAAGCCCAGAAGGTCGTGGGTTCAATTCCCACCTCTACACCTTCTCCACCGACTCCCACTGATGACTGCTGTCGTTGTGTCCTTGGGCAAGACACTTAACCCCACTTTGCCCAAAAAGCCCCCACTGAAAGATCAAGGCTATGCTCACACTCAGAGAGCAGCCGTCCTCCTGTGGACTCACCACCTGCAGAGGGTCAGTGAGGGGCTGGTGCTATGAGACTTGGGTGGCATCTCTGACTGCCACCCCCCTGACCCAGAAATGGATTAAAGGGTAGAAAATGGATGGATGGATGGATGGTAAAGCAATGCCATCTTCATGGAGATTAGCAGCAGCAACTAACGCTTCCTAAATTAGTTGTCAGTTATTTCAATAATTTATGAATCGATCATTTTGTTACAGTCCTATTCTAAACCAAACCTTAATCTCATTTTAAACATTTTCTCACATGGCCACCGATGCAGCTCTGTGGCATAACTGGGTTGGGGGGAAATAGGCACACTTTCCTGACAGCAAATGTAGAACGAAACACATGATATAGTTTGCAAGCGATGTAGAACAGTGCTTCCCAAAGTGGGGTCTGGTCTCATAACCACAGTAGCCCACACAAGAAATAAAGATGTAACTTTCAGGGTAGCACATATTTTTTAGGATCAGTCGTTGGAATAAGTGACTCTTTCATTTTGTCGTTGGGTAAAATCACCACTTTCTCATTCTCAACAAGACATCTCATCCTCTTCCTGTTGTGTTGCACCACCCTGCTCTGACAACAAGAATTCTGGCAGAAAACACAAAAACTGCTCATCTTTTCCTGTTTTGCATTTCGACAATTTGATAGTTTCAAGAATAGAGGTGAAACTCATAAAAATTGTATTTCAGCTTAAAATGTGAAACCAAGTTATACTCATTACATCCAAGTCTTTGTTAGCTTTAATTCTGATGATGAGACAATTATCAACATTTTAACAAAGTTCCACAGTGTACTTTGAATTACAGATGCAGATTTGAAAAACAAGTAAATGTTTTGAAAGTGGATAAAACATGACATATTCCTCATTATGAAGTGTAAAATGTCGCTGGAGCTGATGGGGCCAAACTTTTGTTAGCTGAACTCACGTCCTGGTCCGTCTTTGACGCGGGGGCCCTCTGCCTCCCGTTCAGGGGACAGTGTGGCGTCACTGTGGGAGTTGGTGTTGGAGAAGCCGATGTCATTGGGCTCCGTGTCGGCCATGTCTGAGAGGGCGTCACTCTCCTCCTCCTCGGGGTGTGTGAAAATCCAGTCCAGAGCTCGCTCAAGGTTATTGTTCTGGAGGATCATCAGAAAATGTAATTAATGACAAAGATCTTACAAGACAAGTAAAACATGTCATACAAGAGGTATGATGAAGGACGACAGTGAAATACAGGGCCGCACATTCAAACCCAAATGCCAATCTGAAAACAAATGCTTGTTAAAAATATTTAGATACCAATGAAAACAATCTTCTTCTATTTCAAAGACAAAATATTGAAAAATGATAATGTAACGTCACGTTTCGGAAAGTGAAATAAAATCTTCTGGTGAAAATGTATCATCCTACCACCAGAGGGAGTTGAAGAATTTCTGTTTGCGGCAAATATTTTAAAATTTGTAAAAAAAGAAAAAAGAAAATTAGGAACCCGCCAAGACAAAACTAATTTAATGGCAGTACTTTTGATTTAAAAAGTCAGAAAACTGATCTTAGTCTGATCCTAGATTTAAAGTGGTTCTCACCCCCGCTCCTCGGAGCTTACGTCACTCACATTTCCTGTTCAAATCTTCCTCTAAATGGGCGTAGCCTGGAGGACTAAAGGGGGCGTGAACTAGACTGGGCCGTTTACATTGCTCTGGGCGGGGGGCTGCAGACGTCAGGTCCAACTTGCAGACGTCAGGTCCAACTTCTGTGCCAGTGTTGGCGCCAGATTCAAAATTCAAATGTAGTAATACAGGTCGCCAGCAGATGGCGCCTCACAGACGGTTTTAGGCAGAAAGTCTAACTTTCAACTAATTTGCACCAAAGTGACAAGATTATGACCAGGATATGTAGACAACACTATTGGACACTCATTTATACCGTTTATCAGCAAAAAAAAATGGATTTGAGGGTGAGTTGTCCTTTAAAGAACTGAGACAAGGGGCTTTTGGACGGAAAGGGTGGAGTTTTATGTTTGCGAGTTTGCGTATGTACATTAGCATGGACAGATCTAAAAACAAGTCCAGGTCTGTTTTTTAGGATTAACATGGTCAAAATGTCTCTATTGCACATAAAACACCTGTTATATCTATTTTTAAAGCCAGTTATATCTAATATCGTTTTACTTTTTAACAGATTGCACTTATTCTGCCTTTTTGCACCCTGAGTGATCTTACTGAAGCCAAATGTATCACGTACATTTCTCCATTGTGAGATAAAAAAAGTTATATCTAATCTTTAAAAGGAGATTTTGAATCCGTCTCCTTCATTAAATGTGAGAGATGTTCACACAAAAATATTGTCTGAATGGTACGGGTAGCTGTCTCTTCGTGTCAGGTCAGTGAAGTTGAAAAGTTCCTCCTGCTAATATCAAGACAAAAATAACATGGCCTTGGGACCCCTGTGTGCTTCGCGCCCTCACCCCCCTCATGAGATATACGCACGTTCCTTTTTTTCAGTCTAACAATATCACGGTTGGCAGGGCGATTGGTGATAAACAAGGAAGTCTATTTGGAGTCTTTCTATCAATCCAGCGGCTATTTTTTACAGAAGGGCAGGTGGAAAGATGAACGTGAGAAACTGAAGCCATTTCAAAAACAGAAAAATGTTCACAGCTGGTTTCAGATTCAGTTGGTGGAGATGTCTGTCCTGCTGCTTTAGTCCTTCACATCAGCGTAGGTGCCTGTGCACTGTTGGAACTTTGTAAACAGCGTCTTCAGACGACATTTTTCATCACTCTGACACTGTTATTGGATATTTGGACAGCATTCAAGTAGGGCAGCCCAATGTAGTAATGCCGGACGCTGGTATGATTATAGATGCTCTTTGTGTGTGGCTATAAAACTACTAAACTGCCATAAACCAAATATAAAGTCCAAGATCACTAATCCAGCTAATGGATTAATTTGATTTCCTCTATATCATCCAGTCCCAAAGTTTGTGTGCTGCAGCCCTCTTACTGGAAACAAAATCTCTTGGGGGGGCCTCAATAACAATTGACAAGTTATTATGGAAAAACAAAATACACATTTTAAACAGAAATGCACCCATAAAAACAAATTGAGTTAATCAAATCAAAATGTGTATTTATATTGTATGTTTATTTTGTAACTTTTACCAAATATTTGGACAATTGATATAAATCTCTAGTGCTTGCGGTGTGAACAACATCAGCAGGGGTTCTGATATCCCCAAATGGCCACTGAACCAAGCCCTGGTGATCCAAGATGGCGCCCTATTCAAATGAATGGCTTGTGCCCAGTAGCGCATGGGACTTCACTGGGACCTGGAGATTAGCAGAACTTGCCTATATTTGAGCATCGTCTGGTCCTCCCAGTTCTGAGCAGTGGATTATCTCTCATGATGCGTTGCGTCAAATACACGTGTGTGTGGCTCTCATGCACGTGCACAGAGGGGTTCGGCCGCGCTCTGACCAATCAGAGCTGATGATCAGAGCAGCAGAGCGGAGTCAGAGCGGGAAGGAAAGGAGCAGAGTTTGTGGCAGTAAAGTGTGGATTTAAAAAAAGGATTTAAGAAGGAAAAAAAGTTCAGGATGACAAGGGACACTAAAATCCACACAAAATCCGACCTTTCTGAAAGCTGTAGGTTCTCTGTCAGCTGAGGTCGAGCTGTTTTAATTTACATTGAGTTCTATGGGACTTTTTTCTGGGTAGCCCACGTGAATTTAGTCTGCAGTACCACGGGCGCCTCCTGTGCCCGTGAGTGGGACAGCTCTAAGCTAGTAATACCCTATCCAGTTATTATTATAGATCCATGGGCTGAACCCGCTTTGGGAAACACTCCTCTATATTTCACACAGTATGTCATTGGTACTTTTAGTAGTGAGGAGCAATAATGCGTCTTAATAATAATGTATTTTAGTTATAGGTATTCAAAATCAGTACAATATAAATAAAATGGTAGAAAAAAATAACAATAGCATAGTAACAATAGACCCATTACTTTCACTTGCATCAAGTTCAAACAGGGGAATGAGTTCTACAATTTAGGGCTAGTCAGAGTGATGCTAACAAAGAGGACAGCAGACGGGATGCTAATTAAACCAATACACCTATTCAAATGAGGAAGCAAAGGAAAATGCTTTTATTAAAGTTATTCACTTTTTTACTTGGTGATTACTTTTAGATTTTGTGTCCCTTTTTTTGCACTTCTTTTTACATACCGTAAATTCACAGGCTGTTGTAAACTGCATTTTTGTGAATGTGTTTGTTTATTCCCTTTTTCAAGTTGTCATCATAGACTATAGATATTAACGGACGTAGTCACGCCTATCTCTGCCGTTGAAACTAATGTGCCATTACTTTTGCCTTCTGTGGGGTTTTTCAAAATGGCTGTGGGGCAGGAAATTGTGAAATAATGCATTTGCGCATGCGTTGGCCCCATTCATTTAAAGAGTTCATTCAAAAGACTACAGTGGCTAAACTAGACTGGTCCATAGAAAAACACTCCCCTCAGCATTGACACACATGTGGAACGTAGCATTGGGCCACGAGCCAAATTTTGGACCATCGTGTAAAGACGTTTTTGGAGGGGAAAGAAGGCGGCATACAAAAGCATTGGATAATTCTCTTTCCAGGTCCACCCGCACCGATTAGGAGTGAGATTGCAAGCATGCACATGCTCATGGACCCCACAACCACCACCACTGGTTGTAATACACAAAAATCAAAATATATAAATATATAGAAAAGACAACTCCTTACTCTAATAAAATTGTTTAAGTGTAATGTAATGCAGACCGTGTTTTTGAGCGCCCGGATGCTGTGTGCACGTGGAAAACCCATGGATGTGAGGATGGAGATGCTTTCTTCTGGAGGAGAGTTGTCCAGCGGTGTTGCACCCATTGAGCTGTCACTGGTGGAAAGCCCAGGTTCCATTGCAGACGGTAATGTCAGCGGCTCCGCAAAATCTGAAAATGACAAATGTACAATTTCACAGTACAAAATGACAATGATATAAGTACATGGTTTGAAACCCCCTGCACCTGTTCAGCACAAGACAATGCAATAAAGAAAATACTGTTTTACTTGCTCATTATTTATATATTTACATTGGCATAATGGTTGCACTGTAAATACATTCATTCATTCATAAAAAAACAATACCGTAACAAAAATTATATATTACTGAACAGTACATACAGTAATACAATAATGTAACCATAGACTGTAAAAATTAATGGACAGAGTCACGCCTATCTCCGCCGTTCTAACTAATGGGCCAAAAATAGTGCTCTACTGGAGCTATCCAAAATAGCGCATGCGTCAGCCGGCGCAAGCTCCATTCATTTGAATCAGACTTTAAAAATTCACAGCAAGTAAACTAGAGTGGTCCAAAAAAATTCACTCCCCTCAGCATTGACACACATGTGGAACGGAGCTTTGGGCCAAGAGCCAGCTTTTGGACCATCCTGTAAAGACTTTTTTGAGAGGTCTGCCAATGCTATATGTTAGCATTGGCTAATTCTTATTCCGGGTCCACCCCCATCGGCCCGGGGTGGTATTGCAAGCATGTCAGCGCACGTCATTTTGGCCACTTTTGAGCAACAATTCTACAATGAAAAATAAGTTGTACTGAAAATGTAGCCTGAACACTGTTCTGTATGTGCAATTTTTACACGGCAAGATGGAAAAACAAATGTAGATCAGATTTGTGTATTTACTTAGCATGAAGACTATAGTGCATTTTACAGACCAAGGTCACCCAAAGTGCTTTACAATGTTCAGAGTTCAGATATTGTTCAGATATTGTTCCAATCATTCCACACACGGTGATGACAGAAGCGAGTCGCCGAACACACTGGACCATCAGCTCCAATCAACACCATCCATTCACTCTCTCATTTACATTCATACATATTGTGCATGTTTTTAGTGGTAGGGGAAACCGGAGCACCTGGAGGAAACCTACACAGACAAGGGGAGAACATGCAAACTCCACTCAGAAAGGTCCTGTTCCGACTGTGATTCGTACCCAGGACCTTCTTGCTGAGAGGCGAGAGTGCTATCCACTCACCCACTAAGTCTTCTAATAACACCTTGTGACTTCTTGTGCAATGTTAATTTTAGACAAACAATGTCATCTAAAGGAAATATCATGGATCTTCAGGTAAACCAGGTGTAAATTAGCATAATCTGTTATAACCTGGTACAATGCAGCTTTCCTTTTAGCTATTGTTTATTGCCATGGAGCTGCTTTAAGGCAAATGAGGCAAAAAGGCTTCAGTGGAACAACTCCAGACTGTAGTCGGGTCTGGGGATTTCGCTCGGGTGAAAACATGTGTGAATATTAGCACAGGACGGCATACTGCATTTGGAGGTTGGCTTGTAAAGGTCTCACTCGATGATGTATTTGGTGTACCGACCATATAGTTCTTCTTGACTTTCAGTATTGTGTTCTATTGTATATTTTGTAAGTAAGTAAGTAATCTTTATTTATATACCGCCTTTCACAAACCAGAGTCACAAAGCGGTTTACAATTGTTATTTTTTGGGCACTTGTCCTCTCACTCCACACAGAGATGGGAGCGGGGTATTGCAAGCATGTCAGCGCACGTCATTTTGGCCACTTTTGAGCAACAATTCTACAATGAAAAATAAGTTGTAGCCTGTACACTGTTCTGTATGTGCACTGTTCTGTTTGAATCAATTAGATATCTAAAAAAGTTAAATAACAATCTGTCTTGAGTAGTTAATAGTTAATATTGTGTTGATTACCAGGCTCTTCCATGTGTGCGATGATCCAGTTGAACGCCATCTCTGGGCCCATGTTTCCGGTGTAATAGACGGCCTTTCTGCAGGCCTCCAGAGGAAACCCCATTTCTGCCAGCTGCATCGCTGAAGTCTCATCTATTTCAGGAGCTGGGGATGTGACAAAAGCACATCAATAACTGGAAATAAGCTGATTCAACTCTCCCCATAACTCCACTTAAAACAACTACTAGAGTTTATGGGATCGCTCCCTCATTAGACATAGAGGCTGGCACAGGCAGGAACCTTAGGGAGCTTATTTTACCAAAGCATAATTCATCACAGACAGAAGAAGTGTGGCTAAAATCAGTGGAACTGCATGGAAAAGTAAAGTTTGTTTGAAAGTAGGCATCCTAAATTTGGAGAGCAGGTGCAGCACCTGTTCTAGCACATGTAAACAGCCCAGGGCTAGCTCTGCCATTTGCTGCATTCATCATCTCTCACATGTGCCAAAACTATGTTATGTTAACAGTAATCACTAGACACAATAGTATGATATAGAAATGTACTTACAGTCAATAGAGCTCATAGAGTTATCTGGAAAAAAATACATAAAGAAAATCACGATTACTTTTACAGACGACTTTCTTTTACAGGTGAGTGCTGAGGAGTTGTGCCTCGTCACCTCCCTGCTGCGAGACAAGAGATCCTCGCAATCACAACTGCACTTCTGTTTATAGTGGAAGGGCTGATTTCAGGAACTTGACAGCCACTTAAAGTGGTAACTTTTCTGGTTTGGAAATTTCCACAGTATAGATTTGGTCGAAAATGCTATCGATGCCACACTGCAAATAGCAATCCTAGAGCAAATAGATTTTAAAGTGAACTTAAACTGGACATGTACAGCAATTTGAAGGTTTTTGGTTGTTTTGACTACAATGCTTAGCATAGATCATGGGTTATTTTTTGTATCCTGGTTGGGTTGTCTGTGTAACTGCCATAAATGTGTTCTACCTAGAGGAAATGCCATACATTGTTCAGGTTGGTAAGTGCATCTCTGAAAACATAGCCCTGACTGTGGAGTGCTCCAGGGGTCAATTCGGGGACACTTCTATTTCATACATATAGGACACTTCCATGTCCTATATGTAACAATGATGTCCCCAAAGTTCAATAAAATTAGTTTGATAGGTATCAATTTTTCCTTAAATGGCTTTGAGCTGCCCATCTGAGATTATACAATGTATATTTATAAACTACATAGTATTAACAAGATATGAGGTACAAACATTTTCATATATATGTAGACAAGACAAATGAAAATATGATGTCACTCTACCGTTCGTCCTTTGACTAGAGAAAAACAAATTGCCGGGAAAACGCTAGATCAGGTTTAATTACCTCCTTCACTTTAATGCAATCAACAGAACTGATAAGGATTCACTTAAGGAACATACTGTATTTGGACTCTGAGAATATATTTTTTATCAAATTCTGTTCATTATGGCCTTTGAGAGATGTGTACCAGCTCTGAGCCCAAATGTACTGTATCATACAAACCATACACTCTCACAAAACAGCACACCTCCTGAGATACACAAGGCACTATCACCAAAAACCAGCTTCAGAAAGTATCAGTGAAATGGCCTTGCTTACTCTATAATTGAAATGCAAGATCTATAACCCTGTCTGGTGCTTGAGGAAGCCATTGACCTTTAAATTTAATTATAGCAACGTGATCCAAAATACAAAAAGGTAAAAATATTCCCCCCCCAGTGGTGAGATGTTTTTTAGTTTCATGCATGAACGCAAACATCCCTGTGGGCTACTGCAGGTGAGACATGCTTGACACTAGGGAACGCAGACAATTTATTTTTAGGTAGACAAAAAAGAAAATGGTTTATGAAGTAACTTTTAAAGGTCTATTATGTCAATTATGTTGTTGTGTAGTCAGTCTGTCGCAACACAAAAAATTCAAACTCGATTGTGATAATAACGATGACTAATAATAACAATGCTGCTTTACAAGTAAGTTTTTATACTAGCACTGAGATCAAAATAATTCAAAAACCTTTTTGATGCTAGTTTAAGAATATTTAATCATTTATGATAATTAATATGAATAATTTTCTAACCCTAGCCTGTAGTCCCATTTCCCAGACATGTTTTGTGAAATGTAGTAGACAAAATATATCAAGATTTTTGTTAAAATATACTTACACAAAAGTATGTGTTTGTACTCTCAAAGAGCACTAGACACCACACTGCCCCTCAATGTTTAAAATGCAAACATTTACACATAAGATGTGCTTTAAAGTTTACACACCCAAGCAGATTTTTCATTTTTCTGACCTTATTATGGAGTTTATGGATTATGAAGAGGATTTATGAATATATATATAAAAACTAAGATTGGATCAGAGTATGTGTACTGACTGTAAATGTGTCAGTATTAGCTATACAGCTAGTTTCCAAACATGCCGGCAGCAGTAGTCTCTTGGCAAGGTGTAAGATGCCAGAAAAAACACTGCAAAACTTACAATATAAAAAAAAACAAACATGTCAAGTAAAGTTAGTTAAAATATTTCAATTAAAAAACAGGTCATTAAAACAAACACAATAGCACACTTCAGATGATGGATGGTTAAAATACAATGGTATCCAATAAACAGGGGTGCACATAACTTTTTCAGTGAGGTTCTCAGATGAGTACCAGGAGATGGTGTTTGGCACTCACTCCATTTGTCGCGTGGTTCTTAATGGACATTTTATAATTGCTTCTTTTTAACGCTAAAGTTTAGATCAGCTCAGATAATCCACTCAATCCAAGTCAAATAATGACTCACAGGGCTCGCTCTTAAAAATGCAAAAAAAAAAACACTAAAACAATCGAAACAATGCTCTGTTTGATTTTTTCACAACATTTTACTTTTGGGCAAAACCAACATCATTATGCATTATTAATGCAAAGGAAAATGTATGTACCACAGCTTTAATGTAGAGACACAGGGAGGACATGGACACTGCCTTAAGGCTCCATAGTCCAGCTCTGTTTCTTGCAGTAACGTCCGTGCTGGATACATTATGACCACGTTCGGCTACGTGCTCGCCGCGTCATTACAAAGCGGCCGGAGTGGCTCTGAAGTCAGAACACTGCGAGTACGTACAGCAAACAGCAGCAAGTGCCCCGCAATCACGCACATCCTCTGGCATTGCACCACACCCCCCTAGGGAGGAGCCCTAGGAGCCCCCACTATTTGAGAAGGACTGGTCTATGTGAAGTACGCAACAGCGCTTTCTAACTCAAGTGATAGTACGCATTAATGATATATGTCACGCATGCGTACCTGCATACCACTTATGTGCACCCCTGCCAATAACCATGTTTTTAACAGTTTATGTGAACTGCACATTCTTTATGGCAAAAAGCCTCTAGTTCTTGTATATTCCTGGGCTACCTTGCATGATAGAGATCTCCCAAGAGTGGCTCTGAAATGTTATAATTTGAAAATAGAAAACTCCTTTATTTGACAATAAATTAACAAACGATGATGAAAACGTTTTTGTATCATCGTTCTTAAGCTCCATAATATGGCTTTTACTGTTACAGTTCTGCGTGGGTGTGGGTGTATAAAATCAAATGTACCTCTCGTGTCTTCAGGGAGAACAATGGGAGGCATGAGATCTGGAAGCTCCTCCTCTCCAGACTGGAGCCCAGTTGCTCGCAACCGACTCAAATCAAGGAAATCAGGAACATCTATCGCCAAATCTGTTTGTAAAGATGAACAACTGCTGTAATACAGATGCAGAAGTGTTCCTAGTATTAAGTCAAATCAACTAATTACCAAAAAAGGAATGGTAAATGCAAGACACTGAAAACCCAATTTGTAGGACAATGCTCCTCACAAACAGTGATGGGGGTCAGCGTGCAAGTAAATAATGGGTGAATGTTGCCCTCGTATGGGCATTACTGGTACTACAGCAATACATGCTGGTTGATTCAACATACATGCAATTCTCTATTAAAAGTAAATTAAAATGTTTTTACTGTACCTAGTTTCTTTGGTACCCAGTCAACACCAAATGTGAATTTCTTAATTTGTAAAACTAAATATTCAGGAAACGAAGCAAACCGAGATGTCCTAAAAAAGATAATCCAAAAGAAACATACATTGTATTAATAGACTTGTTAAACTTATCTAAATGTATATACAAAAATAAATGCATTGCCTACTTGACACCAGCTGACTTGGCCTGTAACGCTGAGCTCCAGAAGTCTGGCACATTTTCTGGTTCAGTGAAGGCTTGCAGACACGCTGTGAAGGGGATCCGCGCTCTCACTGGTTCAGGAGGAGCACGCATGTTTTCCTCGGCCTCTTTCCGTTTGGCTTCATATGCAAGTAGCTCCTCTGAAAATGATGCATATTTCAACAACAAAAAAAGATCAACACTCTTCTGGGTCAATCTTCTTTTAAAGATACAAGTACAGTACATGATCCTGTTTGTTTAATTCTTTAGGGGCTGCACACATTAATGAGTATTTGTAAATACAGCGGATTAGAGTAGAAATGCTTTATTCGATCTGTCGTCTTCGGGCTGGTAACAAAGATGACCAATAAAACTTCAATAGAGTCAGAAGTTGGGGTTCTTACAGCTTAGGGTGCATTCTATCAGTGGACACCAGACATTAATTGGACTTCCTTACTTCACATGGCTGTTTTAAATAAAATTTAGTTGTGTAAATTGTCTCTGAAATCTGGTTGAAACCAGTCGCTCACCAGTGTGCCAGATATCAAGTATTATCAAGTATCCTGATTAGTGCAAAACAATCTCTTTAAGACTATTGATGATTGTAGTCATCAAGTATTCTACTGTTTATGACCAGAATAATTCAATAATCGAGTAATCTATTACAACCTTAAATGTGTATTAATCACAAATTTAAAAAAATAAATATAATTAAAAACATTAGTCAAATATTATATCAACAGTGGCGCTAAAACTGCTCTGAACAATGCTCGGAAGACATACTGTATTTGAGTGAAAATATTCCTGCAATTCTGTTTAACATATTTTTTATTAAATAAAAGATAAGAAGGAATTATTGAGGCAAAGAAATTGTAAACAAAAATGTTGGCAATTGGTTAATTCAATTGATGCCAATAATCGTTTAATTTGATCCTTTATACTGTACAGTCACAAAATGTATTATCCCAATAGAAATGTCTGATAAACACAATTATGTGAATGTCAAACACTGACAATTAAGCAGTCAGTCATCCCTGTTCTTTGCTCTTGTCAGTCTGGGGCCTGAGGATTATGGGAGCCTGCTGGATGCCCCCCGAGGTGCCCACCTGAGCCCCGGTGCAGCTGAGGCCTCATGTGGGCGCAGTTACCTCGGTTTGTGGCTGCTTCAAACGGAGCAGGCAGCTGGATGCAATAGTCGACCCGCTGAGTGTAGCGCACACGCCGCGTCTGGCAACACTGAATGCGGTCCTCCACCAAGAAGCGAAAGACATCACTGGGATTCTCAGAGATGCCACTATTTCTCTGCACAACACAAGATACCATATATTTACACTCATATTCAGAAATACATAAAACAACCAAGATTCATTTCTATTTGGAGAAGTCATCAGATTAGAATATATGATTACTGTCACCCGCCAACACCAAGACTATCTATTCTAAGCTTTGACACACATACGCAAGTTATAAAAGTGTCCAAGCTGACTCAGACATAGAACGTGTTCAGACATTAAGCATGTGGACTGACCGCTTTACTAAACTTGTTTAAGGGACATCTGAGAGGGTGCGTGGACTCAACTATGAGGGTGCCTTTAAAGGACACATATTATGAAAAAAACAACAATTAAATACAGTATTTAATCATGGTACTACATTCCTAGGTCAAACATTTTTAGCACCATCTTGTCTCAAAGCCAAAGTACCTGGAGTACATATTTTATTTCGTAAATTAATTTTGATTGTCCCAACAGAGTACCATGTTATGAACAAACCAGACCCCAAAATGCTGTCTTTATCTGATTACAAAACCTGTTTTCTTTTACATACAAAAAGATGATTGGCTGAGCAACTTTTATCTAAAAAAAATAATGAAATAAAATCATGTGAAAACCGGTGATGGAACAAAGTAATGTATATATTTATTTCTTTAGTTATTTTTTTGTGGTTTCAAAGTTAGGTACTCAAACTTTAATAGCGACAACACTAATGTCTGCTTCATCCAAGCCCTAAACGGTGTATTGCTATTTATTCTGTATCCTGTTTATTCATTGTTTTGTCATTTTGTGTACAAAAGATTGAATTGAATAAGTACTTACAAATAAAACAACCTTTTGATCAAAATGTTCTCAAACTTACATCTTAGTGTTTCACCACTAAGATCCTTTACACATGTTGTTAATCCACAAATATTCTAACAAAGAATTAATTTCAGAATCTAAAACATGAAATGTCAAAGGAAATATTCCCAAGATGATGTTTTGGGGCCAACACAAACACCAATAACAGCATAATATATGTTCTTTAAGTAATGAAATGTGTCCAGAGAAAATGCAAAGATTTGTGGGCAGTTTCCAATGCAGTGGGGGTCAGGACAAGTCTGCTTCGGCTGGAGCATTATCTGACCGCTCAGTGTAACAGATATCACTGGGCTAAAAATACCTAAAAGATAGCATAAACTTGACAGCGGAAAGAGAGCTGCTCATGTGCCAGGCCAGGCCGGTTTCAATAATAAATTTGGTAAACATTGCATGTGTATGTGTTTGTGTGTATGTGTATGTGTATGTGTATGTGTATGTGTATGTGTGTGTGTGTGTGTGTGTGTGTGTGTATGTGTAGGTGCGTTTGTTTTGTGGACATATGAGGACTTTTATATGATAACACACCTTCAATATCAGGACCTGAGGAAATGTCAGGACTTTTTTCAGGTCCCCATTTTTCCATGCATACTACAGTGTTGTAGAGGCCCAGAACAAGCTCCACACCAAAAATCAAGCATGTCCCAAAATGTCTACAAATAGTGAAAATGTGTGTCGGGGCCGAAACACTCCGTCCCAAAAAGTTTGAAGCGCCTCTCTGGTCGTGCACGGTACTACCTTAACACACTTTTAACACACACACACTTGTCCTCATATGTCACCTATTTTGTCACAAACTTAAATACATTCCCAGAGGTGGGTAGAATAGCCAAAATATTGACTCATGGTAATTTAAAAAGATACTTGAGTAGTGAGTGTGTGTTTGTAAAAAAAAAAAAAGAAAAAAACTTTCAGCCAGAAGGGGCCTTTTGGAGTGGAGCTTGCATGTTCTCCTTGTGTCAGTAGATTATCTCCCTGAAAAATTGTCTTAACTCCAGTTGGAAAATCATGTTTAAATTAGAATTTAAAACATCAAAAACAAATATAAAAGTGAGGTGTCAAAAATTACAAACACAATGTATAAAAATAATTCTACATTAAAGTTATAATGTATTTGTCCATCTACAGAGTTACTCTCCGTGAAAGGAGTAACGATTGATAAATATTTCACTCAGACCTGAAGTGCTTGTTATACTGTAGGTCCTAATATGTCACTCAGACCTGATGTGTGTGTTGTAGGTCCTAATATCTCACTCAGACCTGATGTGTGTGTTGTAGGTCCTAATATCTCACTCAGACCTGATGTGTGTGTTGTAGGTCCTAAAATCTCACTCAGACCTGATGTGTGTGTTATAAGTCCTAATATCTCACTCAGACCTGATGTGTGTGTTGTAGGTCCTAATATCTCACTCAGACCTGATATGTGTGTTGTAGGTCCTAATATATCACTCAGACCTGATGTGTGTGTTGTAGGTCCTAATATCTCACTCAGACCTGATGTGTGTGTTATAGGTCCTGATATCTCACTCAGACCTAATGTGTGTGTTGTAGGTCCTGATATCTCACTCAGACCTGATGTGTGTGTTGTAGGTCCTCTATTTCACTCAGACCTGATGTGTGTGTTGTAGGTCCTCATATTTCACTCAGACCTGATGTGTGTGTTGTAGGTCCTAATATCTCACTCAGACCTGATGTGTGTGTTGTAGGTCCTAATATCTCACTCAGACCTGATGTGTGTGTTATAGGTCCTAATATCTCACTCAGACCTGATGTGTGTGATGTCGGTCCTAATATCTGATTATCTTGCGTCACATTACAGGTCTTCCTGTGACACGCATTTTCACACACGTCTCTCCTGCACTTTCTTATATTCTCCGCTTCTGTTAAACCTTTCATATAAGCCCCAGACCGAGGGGCACAGGGAGTGTGTGGCTGCAAGGCCAAAGAAAAGCGTTTCCTACGAGTATAACTCCCTCTGTCCTGAGCCTGCTCTCAGTAGTGCTATCGCAGTAACACTTCAGACATTAAAGAATCAGTCTTTATTTAATCACCAGAACACACACACACACTTGTAACTTCCCTGCCTCCGATCGCTTTGCTCCACACTTTTCATTCTCATTCATTCATTTCTCATTGCTCGTACGCTCGTTGCTGAAGTGTGTGTGTGCACTCGTGTCCGCGGTGCGCACACACACACGTGCACACATATGTTACTATCTGCCCTGACCCTCGCTCTCAGTGTGGTGCTATTGCAATAACACTTCAGACATTCAAGAATCAGTCTCTATTCGCCAGAACACACACACACATTCCCGCAAACACTAGTGAGGTCGTAGTTAAAAACACGAAAACTGAGGACTTGCCTTTCCCAATGTTTTAGGAGGAAGAAAAAACACTTTCTAGACACTTGATGGCGCTGCGGAGCTATACACTCCATTGAAAAAATTTTAGAACCAAGATTTAAGAAAAAGTTTTGAACCATCAGAGTGGGGGCAATAAGTGAAATTTGCAAAAAAAATCATGAATAGACCTTTTTTTTAACTCTTTGAAGGTATATTTAGAATTATATAGTTGGTCACATGTGCAAATGGACACAGATTATTATGTGGGATCACAGCAATTTTAATAAAACAAAGCAAAACATTTGAAAGACAGGTTTATTTGCATCTTTGTATTTTGACTTGTCCCAACAGGACAATTACAAAGGACCTAATACAAAGTGCTCTTGAACGGGACTTTAAAACATAACTGCACTTAACATTAAAGCAGGGCGGTCAAACTCATTCCTAAAGCGCCGCAGTGGCTGCAGGTTTTCCATCAGACCAAGCAGGAGCAGAGCAGACTCCTCCCATTTCCTCAAACCTTCAGGTTAAGACTGAACTCACTGAGGAAATGGGAGGAGTCTGCTCTGCTCCTGCTTGGTCTGATGGAAAACCTGCAGCCACTGCGGCGCTTTGGGAATGAGTTTGACACAAATACCAGCTACACAAGCTGCCTCTTGAGTCGGATAATAGTATTATACACAAAGTACTTGAGGTCCTTCCAGGTTCTGTTGATGAGGGCTGCAGACTCCTGTGTGAGGCACAGCACACAGAGCCAGGTACTTCTCCATCCTCTTCTCCACGGCTCTCCTCCTCACTCCAGGGTTTCTTTGGGTTTCTAGAAGCTTCTGATGGAGACAATAAGACACATAAAGACTTATGTTTATCCTGATGACCAGGTCTGGACCAGGTCTAAACCAGGACTGAACCAGGACTAAACCAGGACTAAACCAGGACTGAACCAGGACTGAACCAGGTCTACCCTAGGTCTAAACACCAGGACTGAACCAGGTCTAAACCAGGACTGAACCAGGTCTAAACCAGGACTGAACCAGGACTGAACCAGGTCTAAACCAGGACTGAACCAGGACTAAACCAGGACTAAACCGAACCAGGACTAAACCAGGCCTAAACCAGGTCTGAACCAGGACTAAACCAGGACTAAACCAGTACTAAACCAGGACTAAACCGAACTAGGACTGAACCAGGTCTAAACCAGGTCTAAAAAAGGACTGAACCAGGACTTAACCAGGACTGAACCAGGTCTAAACAAGGACTGAACCAGGACTGAACCAGGCCTAAACCAGGTCTAAACCAGGTCTAAACCAGGACTAAACCAGGATCAGTTGTACTCACCATCTGTCCTCTTGGTCCGTTTGTTTTTCTGGGCCTTTGTGGAGGTCGGCTCTAGCTCCTCTTCATCAGACACTTCAGCACACGCTAAGAACACACAGAAGGGTCAGCAAGGACTAAACCAGGACTGAACCAGGACTGAACCAGGACTAAACCAGGTCTAAACCAGGACTGAAACAGGTCTAAACCAGGACTGAAACAGGACTAAACCAGGACTGAACCAGGACTAAACCAGGTCTGAACCAGGACTAAACCAGGACTAAACCAGGACTAAACCAGGTCTGAACCAGGACTAAACCAGGACTGAACCAGGACTGAACCAGGACTGAACCAGGACTAAACCAGGACTAAACCAGGACTGAACCAGGACTAAACCAGGACTGAACCAGGACTAAACCAGATCTACCCTAGGTCTAAACCAGGTCTAGCCTAGGTCTAAACCAGGACTAAACCAGGACTAAACCAGGAGTAAACCAGGACTAAACCAGGACTAAACCAGGACTAAACCAGGACTGAACCAGGACTGAACCAGGACTAAACCAGGCCTAAACCACGTCTAAACCACGTCTAAACCAGGACTAAACCAGGTCTAAACCAGGACTGAACCAGGACTGAACCAGGCCTAAACCAGGTCTAAACCAGGTCTAAACCAGGACTAAACCAGGATCAGTTGTACTCACCATCTGTCCTCTTGGTCCGTTTGTTTTTCTGGGCCTTTGTGGAGGTCGGCTCTAGCTCCTCTTCATCAGACACTTCAGCACACGCTAAGAACACACAGAAGGGTCAGCAAGGACTAAACCAGGTCTGAACCAGGACTAAACCAGGACTGAAACAGGTCTAAACCAGGACTGAAACAGGACTAAACCAGGACTGAACCAGGACTAAACCAGGTCTGAACCAGGACTAAACCAGGACTAAACCAGGACTAAACCAGGACTAAACCAGGACTACCCTAGGTCTAAACCAGGTCTGAACCAGGTCTGAACCAGGTCTGAACCAGGTCTGAACTAGGTCTAAACCAGGTCTAAACCAGGTCTGAACCAGGTCTAAACCAGGTCTAAACCAGGACTAAACCAGGACTAAACCAGGACTAAACCAGGACTAAACCAGGACTGAACCAGGACTACCCTAGGTCTAAACCAGGACTGAACCAGGTCTAAACCAGGACTGCCCTAGGTCTAAACCAGGACTAAACCAAGTCTAAAAAAGGACTGAAACAGGACTAAACCAGGTCTGAACCAGGACTAAACCAGATCTGAACCAGGTCTGAACCAGGACTAAACCAGGACTAAACCAGGACTAAACCAGGACTAAACCAGGACTAAACCAGGACTGAACCAGGACTACCCTAGGTCTAAACCAGGACTGAACCAGGACTGAACCAGGTCTAAACCAGGACCTGGTTTAGTCCTGGCTTAGACCTGGTTTAGTCCTGGTTTAGTCCTGGTTTAGTCCTGGTTTAGTCCTGGTTCAGACCTGGTTTAGTCCTTGCTGACCCTTCTGTGTGTTCTTAGCGTGTGCTGAACCAGGATCAGTTGTACTCACCATCTGTCCTCTTGGTCCGTTTGTTTTTCTGGGCCTTTGTGGAGGTCGGCTCTAGCTCCTCTTCATCAGACACTTCAGCACACGCTAAGAACACACAGAAGGGTCAGCAAGGACTAAACCAGGTCTGAACCAGGACTAAACCAGGACTAAACCAGGACTAAACCAGGACTGAACCAGGACTACCCTAGGTCTAAACCAGGACTACCCTAGGTCTAAACCAGGACTGAACCAGGACTGCCCTAGGTCTAAACCAGGACTAAACCAGGTCTAAAAAAGGACTGAAACAGGACTAAACCAGGACTGAACCAGGACTGAACCAGGACTGAACCAGGACTGAACCAGGACTGAACCAGGACTGAACCAGGACTGAACCAGGTCTAAACCAGGACTAAACCAGGTCTAAACCAGGACTGAACCAGGAATAAACCAGGATCAGTTGTACTCACCATCTGTCCTCTTGGTCCGTTTGTTTTTCTGGGCCTTTGTGGAGGTCGGCTCTAGCTCCTCTTCATCAGACACTTCAGCACACGCTAAGAACACACAGAAGGGTCAGCAAGGACTAAACCAGGTCTGAACCAGGTCTGAACCAGGACTAAACCAGGTCTAAGCCAGGACTAAACCAGGTCTAAGCCAGGACTAAACCAGGACTAAACCAGGACTGAACCAGGTCTACCCTAGGTCTAAACCAGGTCTAAACCAGGTCTGAACCAGGTCTAAACCAGGTCTGAACCAGGTCTACCCTAGGTCTAAACCAGGACTGAACCAGGACTAAACCAGGTCTACCCTAGGTCTAAACCAGGTCTGAACCAGGTCTGAACCAGGTCTGAACCAGGACTAAACCAGGTCTGAACCAGGACTAAACCAGGACTGAACCAGGTCTGAACCAGGTCTGAACCAGGTCTGAACCAGGTCTGAACCAGGTCTGAACCAGGTCTGAACCAGGTCTGAACCAGGTCTGAACCAGGTCTGAACCAGGACTAAACCAGGACTAAACCAGGACTGAACCAGGACTGAACCAGGTCCGAACCAGGACTAAACCAGGACTGAACCAGGTCCGAACCAGGACTAAACCAGGACTGAACCAGGTCCGAACCAGGACTAAACCAGGACTGAACCAGGACTGAACCAGGACTAAACCAGGTCTACCCTAGGTCTAAACCAGGTCTAGCCTAGGTCTAGCCTAGGTCTAAACCAGGACTGAACCAGGACTAAACCAGGACTAAACCAGGACTAAACCAGGATCAGTTGTACTCACCATCTATCCTCTTGGTCCGTTTGTTTTTCTGGGCCTTTGTGGAGGTCGGCTCTAGCTCCTCTTCATCAGACACTTCAGCACACGCTAAGAACACACAGAAGGGTCAGCAAGGACTAAACCAGGTCTGAACCAGGACTAAACCAGGACTAAACCAGGTCTAAACCAGGTATGAACCAGGACTGCAGTCATGTGTCTCAGGTGTTAGACTCACCATCAGGGGGCTTGTCCATGGGACCATCAGCCTCAGCCTCCAAGTCACTGTGCTGAAGCTCTGTTTGGTCTGTGAACATATGAAAGATAATCATCATCATGAATCATGCCTTTGATCATATTTATGTAGATCACTTGAGCTAGAAGACTTTCGCTAAGCTGTTTGTATGACGACACAGTTACATTCTGCCTCAGGTCGGCTATGGCTTGGTCCTCTATAGTCCTCAGGTGATTCTGCAGCGCAACAATGTCCTTCGTCAATGGAACACTGTCGTCTTTGTTCCATTTGTTTTGCTCTATGGAGCTGTGAGCGTTTGCCGAAACATAGTCTGACCACATTTTGTCCAGAAGCTCTTTAAACTTCTTTGCTTTGTTTTCACCAACAACATCCGACTTCATGATGCAGTGACCGATCCAAGCATTGGTCGCTGCTTTGAGAGAAAAGCCTATCTTCACCGCTGTTGAAGGTTTTCCATACTCTGACTTTTCTGAATTGAATTTTGCTACTTTTTTAGCTGCTGCTATTGCCAAGTTAAAATGTGTTGGGTCGCACAAATCTTTCTCTGATGCGTTTGTCAATTTGTTTAGCTGCTAAAATGAAACGTCCGAGTTCCCTCAGTTTCTGTGCGATGTACCGGTGTTGCGATTGTTCACGTCCTTTTCTGGCAAACAGTGAATCTCCAAATATACAAATCATGTCATCACTTTGGATTTGTGCTGTGATATTATTTTGCAACATGCTTGAAATTACAGTTTGGGTTCCCTCTGAGGTTTTCTGCATCGGAAGGAGCACAGAAGAGACCGCTTGGATCAGTTTTCTTTTTGTTCCCAAATCTGTGCTTTCCTTTTTATTCCTACAAACTTTATCATGTCTCCATAGATCCCTTTTTTTAAACATGGCAAATAATCATTAACAGGTGCGTTAAGAGAGAGCCGCTTCCAGGTGACAAGCTCCCCTTTACCTTCTTTTAGCACTTTCTGATTATGCTGCCAGTCCCCCTTATTTCTCAGGGACTCAAGATGTGTCTTTCTTTCCTTGGAGCGAACTGGAAAGCTAAAAGCCTGAGCCACATCCGTTTCAGCCATGTGCTTCATCTCTAAATGGCGGGCAATTTTTAGATTAGGCTTTTGACAGTAAACACAGTAATGAGATTTGTCCCACACTCTTTTGCCATTTTTCTTACTACTAGTATTTACAGTCAATGCATTTGTCCCCGAGTTGTTTTTGAGGCGGTGGTAGTTTTTGGTGCGTCTTGTCTTTGGTCTGGACTCACATGTGTCAGAAAATACTGAAACGTTGCTGGATAATGTAGAGGAGGCTTGTACTCATCACTGGACCAGGCATCTGAAGATGGGCTACTCATCTGCAACATGCAAGATTTACAATTAGAATTCATCTGCATTTTGTTTAATACATTTCAACACATTTGAATTTTACAATAAATTTAAAATGATTTTTGGAAATTACTCCAAGAAGTCCTGAATCCAAAACACGTTCTAAAGTAAGTAATATTCTTATATAGTGCATTTCAGAGACCAAGGGGAAAAAATAAATAAAATAATAATCGCTTGCTCATACAATTTTCATAATTCAGCAATTGATTTTAGAAGGCCTCCATCTTTTTCGAAGTTTCAGAGATCAGAACCACAGATCAGAACCACCCACAGAACAACGCGCAGACCCGCACAGAACAACGCGCAGACCCGCTCACAGAACAACGCGCAGACCCGCGCACAGACCCAGACCCGCGCATAGACCCAGACACAGACCCATGCCGCCATCAAACGAACTTACCGCTGAGCACCACGTTTTGTATTTAAAACACCGGATTTGATACGGAGAAGTTACTTTGGCCGGAGTTATTACAATGAAAAGCACTCACTTTACCCACAGAAATAAGACAGAGGTACTTACCGCATCGGCTCTGCTCTCACGCGCCATCTCTCCGGTTCGTCGCCGTGTGCTCTTCGCGTGGTCCTCGTGTGCACGTGAACTCAGACAGAACGTGCATTCGTTTCACGCGTGGCTCATTGTGCGCTCTCATTGGTTAAGATACACAGTGTTGTGATTGGTTAAATCCACCTGCAAGCTGTTTCTTTCTCCCTCAAAAAATATAGTTTTTAACTTATTAATTTTACAATTACAACATTTCAAAGTTTTCAAATGAAACTTGTTCCTGGTGAACTCGTGTTAAAGCCCTTTCCTGTACTGTGTGTGTTAAAACAACACATTTAAACATGTTTAGTTTTAGGCTGTGATACTAAGTGCACAGGGGGCGGGACCGTAGGCTACTCTGATTGGCTGATCCAGAGTGGGCCATCAAAGAGAAACAATGTTTCAATCTGCAGCTGCAGAATCCAAGGCCTGGACTGAGACCTGAACTGAGACCTGAACTGAGACCTGGCCTGAGACCTGGACTGAGACCTGAACTGAGACCTGGACTGAGACCTGAACTGAGACCTGGACTGAGACCTGAACTGAGACCTGAACTGAGACCTGAACTGAGACCTGACTGAGACCTGAGACCTGACTGAGACCTGGACTGAGACCTGAACTGAGACCTGGACTGAGACCTGAACTGAGACCTGAACTAAGACCTGAACTGAGACCTGAACTGATAAACTTAGAACGTATGTTCAGGGCTGCAGGAGACACATGCGCACAGTCAAAAATATAGTCATACAATCAAACAAAAATACAACACAGTAAAAAAGGCTATTGGCTGGCATTACATTTGATGAAAAAAATCATCTCAAGCTTCTGTTTGTAACATCAAAAAATCGAAATAATGGAAAAGAGACAAAATCGGAAAATTATATATATATATAGGAGCTGGAGAGGGCCTGGAGGGTAAAGGTGACAGTAGTGCCCGTGGTGATCGGTGCACTCGGGGCAGTGACCCCGAAGCTAGAAGAGTGGTTACAGCGGATCCCCGGAACAACCTCGGACATCTCGGTCCAGAAATGTGCAGTGCTAGGAACAGCAAAGATACTGCGCAGAACCCTCAAGCTCCCAGGCCTCTGGTAGAGGACCCGAGCTTAGAGAGGTATAAGCGCCCACGGAGGGCCAGGTGAGTGGACAATTAATATATATATATAAAAAATATATATATATATATTTATATATTCCTACATAAAACAGCTATAGTGTATTCAATTTTAAAATATTGATATATATCTGATAATTGACACAGCCCTAATTACCCGCCCCTGACTCAAAACTGCAGACGAATCACCACAGATTTCAGTCTAGCAATCAAATGAGCCTCGTCCTCTTCAACACAAAACATGGATCATATGAAGTTTCTGAGTGTTTCATAATTCAAATTAGTGAGAGACACAGTTCCTCCAGCTGAGACACAGTCCATCCAGCTGAGACACAGTCCATCCAGCTGAGAGACACAGTCCATCCAGCTGAGAGACACAGTCCATCCAGCTGAGAGACAGTCCATCCAGCTGAGACACAGTCCATCCAGCTGAGAGACACAGTCCATCCAGCTGAGAGACAAGACAGTCCATCCAGCTGAGAGACACAGTCCATCCAGCTGAGAGACACAGTCCATCCAGCTGAGAACACAGTCCATCCAGCTGAGACACAGTGAGACACAGTCCATTCAGCTGAGAGACAGTCCATCCAGCTGAGACACAGTCCATCCAGCTGAGACACAGTCCATCCAGCTGAGAGACAGTCCATCCAGCTGAGAGACACAGTCCATCCAGCTGAGAGACACAGTCCATCCAGTGAGACACAGTCCATCCAGCTGAGAGACAGTCCATCCAGCTGAGACACAGTCCATCCAGCTGAGAGACACAGTCCATCCAGCTGAGAGACACAGTCCATCCAGCTGAGACACAGTCCATCCAGCTGAGAGACACAGTCCATCCAGAGAGACACAGTCCATCCAGCTGAGAGACACAGTCCATCCAGCTGAGAGACACAGTCCATCCAGAGAGACACAGTCCATCCAGCTGAGAGACACAGTCCATCCAGCTGAGACACAGTCCATCCAGCTGAGAGACACAGTCCATCCAGCTGAGACACAGTCCATCCAGCTGAGACACAGTCCATCCAGCTGAGACACAGTCCATCCAGCTGAGAGACACAGTCCATCCAGCTGAGAGACACAGTCCATCCAGCTGAGAGACACAGTCCATCCAGCTGAGACACAGTCCATCCAGCTGAGAGACACAGTCCATCCAGAGAGACACAGTCCATCCAGCTGGGAGACAGTCCATCCAGCTGAGACACAGTCCATCCAGCTGAGACACAGTCCATCCAGCTGAGAGACACAGTCCATCCAGCTGAGACAGTCCATCCAGCTGAGACACAGTCCATCCAGCTGAGAGACACAGTCCATCCAGAGAGACACAGTCCATCCAGCTGAGACACAGTCCATCCAGCTGAGACACAGTCCATCCAGCTGAGACACAGTCCATTCAGCTGAGAGACACAGTCCATCCAGCTGAGACACACAGTCCATCCAGCTGAGACACAGTCCATCCAGCTGAGAGACACAGTCCATCCAGCTGAGACACAGTCCATCCAGCTGAGAGACACAGTCCATCCAGCTGAGAGACACAGTCCATCCAGCTGAGAGACAGTCCACCAGCTGAGAGACACAGTCCATCCAGCTGAGAGACACAGTCCATCCAGAGAGTAGAGACACAGTCCATCCAGCTGAGAGACAGTCCATCCAGCTGAGAGACACAGTCCATCCAGCTGAGAGCACAGTCCATCCAGCTGAGAGACAGTCCATCCAGAGAGACACAGTCCATCCAGCTGAGAGACAGTCCATCCAGCTGAGAGACACAGTCCATCCAGCTGAGAGACACAGTCCATCCAGCTGAGAGACACAGTCCATCCAGCTGAGACACAGTCCATCCAGCTGAGAGACACAGCCAGCCATCAGAGAGACACAGTCCATCCAGCTGAGACACAGTCCATCCAGCTGAGACACAGTCCATCCAGCTGAGAGACACAGTCCATCCAGCTGAGAGACACAGTCCATCCAGAGAGACACAGTCCATCCAGCTGAGAGTCCATCCAGCTGAGAGACACAGTCCATCCAGCTGAGAGACA